CATCAACGACAAGTCCATCTTCGCCCCCAGCGAGACCAACGTCCAGGTCGGTTTCCGCCGCGCCGAGATGTTGCCCCTCAGCAACGACGGCAAGGACGCTTCCACCCAGGGTATCAAGACCCTGCACTTCTCCCTGCAGAAGGATGCCCAGCGCCCCCTGAACCTGTCCCACGAGTACCAGCTCGTCTTCCTCGAGAGCGCCGACTTCAGCACCAACCAGGTCGTCCTCAAGACCGGCACCATCCTCGGCCAGAACACCGCCGACCCCGATACCCTCCAGCTCTTCGGCAACGTCAACTCCAGCCCCGTTCCTGAGCTCTTCAAGACCAAGTTCACCGCCGGCGTCTTCCACAACTTTGCCATCAAGCTCGACTTCACCAAGAAGTATGTTCCACTCAACTTTATGTACTTGTTTTTAAGGTCTCGCCTCTAACATGATTCTTAGCACCACCGAGGTCTTCTACTCCCAGGGTAATTCTGCTCTCAAGTCGACTGGCGCTGCCGTTGCCAACAACATTGCCGGCCAGGGCCAGTTCCACTTCGGTATGCTCAAGAAGCCCGTCAACGGTGGCTCCGACATCACCAAGAGCGGTGACCAGCCCACTGGCATCAACGAGGGTATCGTCTACGGGGGCATCTTCCAGGAGGACAGCTCCGCCGGCTGCCTTTCCCTCTCTCCCTAAATCAAACATCACTAGAAGACAAAAAAAGACAGGGCGCGGCGACGGGGTGGGACGGATAGAAAGCTATTTCTCTTTATTATTAGTACGGTCTTCGCAAAGTTGACTTTGTGGCGACTTTATATTCTTCTGAAGAGAACGGTTTCTACAACGCATTACTCTCAAACATGTGATCATCCTACTGCCGCCTTGTGACGTTGTGATTGCCTACTTCATTCAACGGCAACATAATATGGGTGGAACATAGAATCTAAACTGGAGCTCGACGCAACCCCGAAGATGGCGACACAACTGTAATATGCCACCATCTCCCCAGTCATGTCGACGGCTGGTCCCGCCGTCAACTCGATTGACTAGATAAAGCACCTCTATCGACTCCGGGCGGAGAGGCTCGGTTGACGCCTTAGTAAGTCCATACACTCATCTGGAGATGAACATTCTACTGCTTCCGATACGCTCATATATCTCAAAGAAGCACTCTTACGTGACAGTGCCGGAGGCCTTAGATAGCTTCATCCCAGTGGCCAGGTCAAGTAAGCCTTAGCCGGAGGCACATGTTACGCTGATGGACAAATCACCTCCGCATCCGAAGTCCGCACTATCCCGGTGCAGGATGGCATGTGCTTCGGAGACTTGGTTTGGACGACGGTCTTTCGTACTCAACCGCCGCCAATAGGAAGCATTAGAAACACGGCCGAAACCTGTGCGCGCGCATTTAGGTACAGACTTCCATAGTTCCAAACGCTGAAGTCTTCCTAGGAATTTGAGCCAGAGCCCCAACCTGCCTTGCAACAAAAATGAGGAAATTCGGGGCCAGGTATAACAAAGAGAGGCACTGAAAGTGACTGCGCTGCTGTGAGACTCATCGTGCGTCTACGATGAATGTGAGGTGTCTGCTGCGCAGACTTGAGACGCATGGCTCGTGCTGCTCGGGCATGAGCGAGAGGCCGTCTCACAGACACACGCCAGGAGGAACTCCTTTTTCCGCAGGACGATGAGACGTCCAAACTTTTTGAGTTCAGCCGAGTCAGATATCCGCTCAATGATCGGGACTCGGGTCCCGTTCCCTCGGGCGACTTTGTCTGGCGGGGACTTGAGCAGGGCGACATGGGGCTCGAGACGATCCTCGATAGAGTTGAGTCAGCACCGTCTCATATTGTCTCCGTCGGAGCTTGTCGTAAGCTTGAACTGGGGAGAGGGCGGGAGCTTGGATCAGCGCTAGACGGGATGATAGGACAGATGTTCGTACTTGGTTGACGAGTCACCATGCACAGTTTAGTACGTACATGTAGGCTATTGCGGCGACCACGATGGTCTTCTGAAGATATGCACCCTGTGAATTGCGAAGTGACCAAGCACGTCTGATACTCATAGTCGGCGCTCAGAGTCGCCATAGTTACTGTCTCTTAGTCTCAGCTAGCCTTCTACGGCGAATGCGCTCAACAGCTATCCGTAACACCTGGAGGAAATATAGAGAGGATACTTTTGGCGCTTGCTTGATTCCATCAAATCAAAGCATCCCTTAAGCTTTGGCTTGCAGCGAATTGGCCAGACGTCTAAAGTTACAGATCACAAGTTGCGAAATGGGGAGGCTCGCGGCAGCGTCAGCCTCTCAACAGAGCCTTGAAATGTCTTGGTGCAGGTATAGTCTTAAGCGTATACAAGATTAACGTGAAATACGATGCGAATCCAGGTACCATGTTTCAGTTTGACGTTGTTGAACTTCCTCAAGGCTTGAAAGTTGAGAGATCCACCTGCACCCACATCGGGCCAAAAACATCGCTCGACACCGCACGAAAACAAAAAACATACAACACCAGGTATTCGCTGGTCGTCACCGACCCAACTACTAATCCGGCCCTCATTGGCTTGTCTATGGGAGAGCGGACGGGATCCCGAATTCTCCAATGGGTATGGTCGTATGTGCTTGATGGAGGGCATCGTGAGATTGATACAGGCAAACAACACGACGCGCATAACAGTTGAGCCTTCCGTTGAAACCTACAACAGACTACTAGACGTTGATTTACTCTGGATTTAATTTACGATTGATCACGTTCCCCCATCTGGCTGCCTGAGATGCGATTCGACAAGGTGATCATTAGATGGGGCTGAGAAGTTTACAAGTGGCTCAGCAACTGCTAACCCACAGGCACTTCAGCAATTGCAAATTTCCCGTAGAGGCTACCAATTGCTGCCAAATTCTTTCGAGCAGGTTAGAACATAGTGCAATCCCGAAGGCAATAAAATCAAGAGTAGAATCAAATTGATGTAATGTGAAGGCTTGATATGTAGGCTCCTTTGGAGGCTTTTTAAATGCGCCAAACGTGTTTAATAGTACCTAACATACTTCGTTCTTTTCAGTCTGTAGCATCTTGGCCTTGATCTTCCACAAAAAGCCTCTAAATTCTAGTACGGAATGCATTCGCAGATATTTCCGGGGAGACTTTCACAAGAAGATTGATTAGTTCGATATACCCAAGAAGGTTAACTAAACAACTCACCGGCAGAGCTTGTCCGCAAAGCCACCGCAGTTCTGAATGCAGTCTGCCGTGCTTTGGCAACTCTCTTGTGCCAAGGCCTGTTGCGAGAAGAAGGCCAGGGCGGTCACGGCGACGGAGATGACGTTGAAGCGCATGTTGGGCGGAATATTGGAGTATGCGGAGTAGTAGACGGATCTTGGCTATTTGGGAAGAGAAGGAAGAATTCTCTATGTGATGAGAAGCGGTTACCTGATAACATAAATACCATCAGTCCGACCGAGTTATGTAACGTCGTCTCTCCACACTTTCATCAGCGGTTACTCAAACGCCAAAGTGGAATGCGAATGGGGCTTTTCATTGTTGACTTAATCTAAAGTAAACAGTCAATTAGTCGTACTTTAACTCTATTCCGAGCGTATGAACGAGTTGGTTCAAGCTTGGCTGCGATTAGAGTTTTGAGAGACCATGTCTTCCGTGCTGTCATGTAATTCACAGCCCCATCACCGTCGGGGTTTATATTCTCGTACCGGAAAGCGAAACCGAGCTTATGGCCTGAAAGCCCGTTTGAACGGGCGTACTTGACTTCCGTAACGCCCGATGCAGGGTTTTGGCGTAAGTAACCTAGTCTTGTCCCGACTCTCTATGCCTTTGATTACCATTTGTACTACGTTTATGCCAGCTACGCATAGTCTCACCTGAGCATGGAATCGGCTATGAGACTACAGCAGAGACTTCCGTTGAAGATGTAGGATACTCAAAGGCTCCGAGACATGTTCAACAAATGTGCATACGCTGGGATGGTTGCCTCTATCGGTTTGTGCCAAAGATGCGTATACTTACTTTACAAAAAGGAGTTGTGACTAAACTTCAGTCATCACAAAAAGGTAGTAGACTATTTAATCTTCCCTGAAATCTAGCTTTGGCAACATACATCTTCCGAAAAGTCATGGCTTATGCTTCTGGGGTAGTCTCTAGTGTTTGAGTTGGATTGGCGTGTCTTCCAATCTTGGTTGTTCCTCGAGTCAACATTATTTTATCTGTTCGTACACGCCGTGAGAGTATTCAGTCAGACTGAACCATGGCTCATCGACGGATGGTTGGAATTCAATTTCGGAACCATCATGTACTCTGTATTTTATTGGTATACTAGTAAGGCCGAAACTCTGTAGGCTGAGAAAAACCCCGGTTTTTAGTAACCTCTAGTTGAAATGAAGTCCCACACTTGTGAAGTCCCTGGTTGGCGACCCTACGTGCTTACTAGATTGATCACGACATGCCGATACGCGATGGCGTAGTTTGCACCCCGTTATTGCCGCTTGATATTTCCCAATCAAATCATAGCAACGACCAGTCACTGAAGACTGTATTCACTGCTTTAATTAGTTAATATTCTGAAGCTCATTCGGCCGTGTACACATTTGATGTGCGAATGATGGTTCTAAGCGATCTTCTCGTTCTTCCTTTCGACATGACGTGAGACGGAGGAAAATGAAAACATGGCTTTAGCAGGAAAATGTCAAGTGCTATTCCGGAGTCTCTGCATCAAATGGCTCATTGGCCTCGTAGTTATCCGGAATCGGAAAATTGTTCATGTTCTAACGGGCTCGTCACCGTTATCGGCTCTGCACCAGCATCAAGATGCCGGGAACCTCCCATCACGTCATGCAGGAACGGTCTCCAACTTGAGGATCGAAGGATTCCTGCAAGATAAATGAGAGCAGCACTATGACAAAAATCTTGAAATCTCTTTCGCAGAAGAGAGTACACCGGCCATTCCTATTCTACTCTTCTTCAACATACCGCTGTGGTAAATCTGAGACATACATCCCCACCGACCATGGCCGCAATCGAAGTAGGAAACCATTCCAAAACTCATGTTAGAGGTTCAGAAGAAAGACCTCATAATCACCTCACATTGACTCTGTCGCCTTTTGAGGCTTTTGACGTCCCCGGTCACCAAAGTACAGCCGATTTTGGGCTGCCGTGGTCGGCAAGCTTTCCTCTCGGACTCAAACTTACCAAGGCCACCGATCTCTCCGAAAGCATTGATGCCCTCCAAAACCTCGCCGATTTGGGGACACTGAGCCGTTTGATCAAAGAACATGGAGGGGCAATTCTCATTCGGGGTCTCCCAATCGAGACACCTCACGATTATAGCAAGGTCGCCCACGCATTTGGCTTTCGTCCTCATATAGAAGTTGGACGTCCGCCACTCCGGACCGTTCTGGCTCCTAATGTCAAAACCGCGAATGAAGGGCGAGTAAACCAATTCGTACAGGCTATAAAATGGCAGCTCCCCACCATGGATTAGTACTGGACGTTTAATGTGAATTCTAAGGGAGTCGTGAGTGCTGACGCATCTTTCCCAGTCCACCAGAGCTGCCCATTTGGCCTCATAGTGAATATGGGTGGTCAACGATCAACCCATCGTGGCTAACTTTCAGTGCACTCCAAATTCCAGAGTCCGGTATGTTCTGAAGCATAACGCAACCAGTTTGTGAATTTTGGCACTGATCATGAGGCAGGCGGCGCAACACCCATCACCTCAGCTATCTATATTGCCCATGAGCTGTCACGCCTCAGGCCCGCCTTTCTCTCTACCCTTCTGAAGAAGGGTGTCAAATACGTGTACCGTTACACAACCAAGCCACTCGTCTCCAACACCGGGACGAGCGTTCGTGGCGCTTATGGCCAGGAGGTCAGAGACGAAGATGACGAGGCCACGGCCCGGAGCAAGATCGAGGCTGAACTCCGACGCCACAGCAACCGATTCGAGTGGCACGACGACGGTAGCTTGAGCGTGACGCACATTGTCCCTGGTGAGTTGAGTAGAAGTTTTCCCGGCTTCCGTGGATTCTAGGCTCGGAGCCTGGTTAGATCTCAGGCTGACACGGTGGCGAAGCCGTTCGCATCCACGATCCTACGGGGGCAACCGTATTCTTTGGCAATGTCACCTCCGCCTGGGGCCGTAGTCGCCACCATGGTGCGACGCGACCTCCATTCCGCGGTGATGACGGATCGTACCATCCTCCCCCAACGTATGGCGATGGAACGCCTATCGATGTCGATGACTTGGACCTGCTGCTGAAACTCGCTGAAGAGGGTGCCATCGACGTTGAATGGCAGAAGGGAGATCTGGTACTTCTTGACGTGAGTATCTGTCTCTGGGGTTTGTGACGCTAGCACGATGTGGCTGACACGAGAGGCGCTTTCCTCAGAACTATGCCGTGATGCACTCCCGTAAGCCATGGAAGGGGCAGCGCCAGGTCCTCGCTGCTCTTTGGGATGATGACGGGAGGATCAGGGATTTCCCAGAAGGCTTGGAATTGCTGAAGAGTAGTCCTAGGGTTCCTCGGACTGAGTCTGATGATGTTGAGGACATTGATCATCGGCCGTCTGAGGTCCTGATTGGATGAAATGTGTAGTTTCACGAATATCATCCCCGTGCATAGACGATCGTAGCCGCGACGTGACTAGTCAACAATTGGCCAAGCGCACTACTCCGTTCATTTGATATGAAGTGGCAGATCTGGGGCTCACGCTTGGACGGCATGGACGTGGAGTTTTGCACAACTTCGTTCCTCGGAGAATTTCAACTTGAATAAATCTTCAGTGGAATAAATTGCTATTTTATGAATCCTACCGCACATAGACTCGACTCTTGCAGGCTAAATCAAGGCTTCCCTCCCTAATTATCAAGATGGGCAGGTTGACCTCTTGACTCTCTTTGTGCTAGTTTCCGAGAGCTCCGCTAACCCAAACCAGCCGCAAGCGGAATCGAAGAGAGCGTCGAAGTTGTTGTAGAACATCCTGCCAGTGTTGATGAAGGGTAGCTTCGGCGCCACGGGTGCGCCCTCCAGAACGAATCCTGACGGCTGCATCGTCGTAGGGTTGGGCTTGCCCGCACCCTGGGCAGTGACGTTGTAAGTCGCAATCGGGTTCTTTTCATTGGGAATGTGAACCACCACGACGCTTCCCTTAGCAGCAACCTGCGGGTGTGTCTTGATATACTTGGAAGTGACGTTCTTGACGTGCGATCTAACGTCTTTGTTGACCGCAACAAACGCTTGGGGAATACCGGTATCGAAGAGGGCCTGGCCCTGGTCGTAGGGTGAGCTGTTGATACTGATTGCCATGTTCACCATGTTCCAGTCGATGAGGGACTTGGATCCGGATCGGACATCGAGCTTCGTCTTGCAGAATCCCTCCGTGTTTTCGCTCGTAAGACCGACCTCGACACCATCTTTGCCCAGTATGTAGCCCTGGTGGATATCCGCCACAGGTCGACCCCCGATTGACACGATGTTGATCAGGGACACCTTGTCAGGCAGAGCATCGGGCTGCTCAGTACTCCATCTACCGAAGCCGACGCCCATGTAGTGGATATCTTTGGGGTACATTGTGATGTTGGACTTCTGCGCTTCCGTGCAGGAGCCCTGTGTCTTCCAAGCGCGGCAGATGCTGGCCTCGGTGACCACCATGATAGGCACGGAGGCGACAACGTCTTCGCCGGTTCCGCGCTCGTCCGTCTTTGCGGGAAATGTGATGTTCGCATCAATCCAGTAACCTTGCCACAGTCTGCCGCTAGAGGAGAGATACTCGTTTCCCGGGTGGGATTTGTCGAATGTCGTTTTCTCGTCAAACCCGAGGACGCCAGCACCTATCATGACGCCGGTGGAGCCGGTGTCCATGCCGGCAGAGGGGATACTGATCGGCTTCTTGTCGATGTTGTATTTTGTCAGGACGGTGAATGTGAGTGAAGGCGTGGTGTCAATGAGAGGGAACTTGTTAATGAAGGGGATGAAAGCGGTGTTGCTTTCTGTAGCCTTCGGGTATGTCGGGGGTCCTGACGCCGGGCATGATGCCGCTGCGGCAAGCTCCAAGAGAGCTGAGATGACTAGGGTGGTAGAGAAGTGCATTTTGGATGATGAGGAAGATAGACCTGATGAGGTTGACTGAGAGATGTTGAGATGAATATACCCGGTGGCTCTGGCCGGTATTTAATAATTTGGATCTGCGAACCTTCAAGTAAGATAATCTCCCGCGAAAACCTTGAAATCGCATCTAGAATATGCCCTTCAGCTTAACATCGTAGCTGAGGCTCAGCTGAATGTCTAAGAAGTCTGTGGCGCCAAGACATCCGAAAACGTGGCATCCAGTTCCATGGAGAACAACCACATCCAGATGGCATTCTGATGGAGAGAATGCGGGGCCGAAAAGCGTGGCCGGCCCACAAGCCATGTGTGGGATGCCGGAACCGGCGATAGTCGGCATGGTGTTGGTCTGGACCTCCACATCTCCGCAAACTAACTGAGACAAGGCATTTGCATCCCCAACTTAAAGCCATGCTAATTCTAGCGGACAAACAACCAAAACATCTCTCATCGGTGGTCTTTATCCCTAGATGAAAGCATCCACAGTCGTAAATTATCCTCTGATCAGGAAGAAGACGTCTTCGGGGGGGCTCGTAAACCATCCGACGCCAACGAGTTGGAGTAAGCCTAGCTTCTTTGCGTACTTTACTCTATGTACAAGAATTAAACTTCAATCCATCCAAAAATTCCGTGTTTTATCAATGTCCACTGTCTTCGGCGGAGCGCGACGCCACTGAAAGTCAATGGCAAACCCGGCAACTCTTTTCCGGGTTGAGTGCACTTAACTACTCAAACCTCTTAAGCCATTTGTCTGCCTTGGTCCAATCTTCAACAAGATGTCGCTGTCGTCCCTTGCCACGGACTTTGAAGCTGACATCAAAAGCCTTTGGACCAGTGAGGATCGCATCTTTGAAGGCGGTCTGCATCGAAGTATCCGGCATCGTATTCCCCGGTACGACATCAAAGCACCAAAGGAGCTTTGACATGGTCATCAACATGCTATTCTCGGCCATTCGCTGACCGGCGCAAATTCTTCTCCCAGCTCCGAAGCTGTAAGTAGGCCGGCGCGACTGATCTTCGATTGCCCGCTTGGATTCCTGATCGCGGCTCTTGACACCCAGTGGGTTCTTCATGAATCGTTCCGGCTCAAAAGAGTCCGGATCCTCGTACTCATCTGAGTCATGATTGATGGCCCAGATGTTCATGAGAATTGTGGTCTCGGCGGGGATATTGTAGCCCATGTAGATATCGTCGCGGGTTATTGCGTGAGGAATAGCCATGGGGAATCCTGGTCGCCACCTGAGAGTCTTCAGATCAAGTTAGACTATTATAAGTCGTACATGGGCAACATTCATGCAAGGAATACTGACCTCAAGGAAGCAAGCCTTAATATAAGGTAAGGTTTCTGCAGTTAGGCGTTCACAACGAACACCACTTTCGCCAAACACCGCATCAACTTCTGCTTGCGCTCTTTTCTGGATGTCTGGATATGCAACCATGGCCAACACGAAAGTTTCGAAAGCACCGGCAGTTGTGTCCGAGCCTCCTTCCATCAGGAAGCCGGCGATGTACTCCAGCTCAATATCGCTGTAACCTTCCTTTTCGTTATCGCGCAAGAGTCCAGCCACAAAACTATCTTCAGCCTTCCCCTGACCAATCCGTGCTTTTGCGTCCTCGAACAAGTCATGATACAACCCCTTTTGTTTTAACTTGAGGTCTGCGGCTCTTAGCTTCCAACCTCGCCAAGGCGTTAGGGAATCCGGGACGTATCGCAAGAATGGTAGTACATCGAAAGGGGGAACAGCGCCTTGATCCAGCATGCCTGCCCACTCTGCTTGACATTCAAAGAACTTCTTGATCTTGCCCTCATCGCTGAAATCCTTTCCGCGGGTACCAAAGACGCTTGACATGATGATGGCGCCAAAGTACCTCAGGATGTGATCGTGGTATCCAGCAGGCTCACAAAGCAACTCATGCATCATTTGCGACGACTCGGCGTCTTGCAGCCGCACAAGCTTGTCAACCTCTTCGTCCTTCAGGAAGTCCGTGATCGTCTTTCTCTCTTTCCTCCACTTAGGCCCGTACCGCATAAAGACGAGATGAATGTCACCTGGTGGGGGTAGCACGTACTCCACGATAGGTACGTACGGTCGGGACGAGTATAGGGCCCCGCGTTGGTCGAGGAGATCGCGCACGGATTGCCAGGTATTGAGGACGACGGCTTTGTTGCTGGGTCCGAGTGACAAGCCGACGAGGCCGTGCGATCCGTACGTGCGGCTCCATGTCGCAAACTGAATGAAGGGTTTTGTCAATGGGATTTGGTGAAGGTTTCCGAGGAATGGAATGGTAGGAGGCCCTGGAGGAAAGTTGATGTTGGATTTGGAGCTCCGGAGGCGAGGTCGTATGAAGAGATGCACTATAAGTGCGCCTGCAACGCTCAGTGCAATTGTCAAGATCGCCATTTTGGACGCCAGAGATAACCCAGAGCAAGCCTGCTTGACCTCAAGTCCAAGAATTACACTCTATTAAATACCCAAACATTGTCCGGTTGACCTCCGCACTTATCCTGGCCTCTCGCAAATAAGACTAATCTCATTGGTTCGCAGATGTTGGGATGAGTAACGGCACGCATATGCGTGTGACGCTCTGCTTACGCTGTCCGGCGTGAATTCATCATTTCATTGCTGGAAAATCAAGTCTCAGGCAGCATTGAAGACATATTGGAGATGATCTACTGTATAAGACATGTTGCTAAGTAGTAGATAGGCAAATCGGACTTTTGCAAGTTCAACTCATATACACCCAGGCGACTGGAGCCCATCCATCGCTGACATGCCAGAGGCATTCTCCAAATAAAGAGAATAGCTTGTCAAAGGAGACATTCACATATCAGTATTTACATTGGCCTTCATATCTCGCCCATGCCTTGATTGTTCAGGAGGACTTGAACTTGTTATCGAAAGCGAGTTTACGAGCCAGTGCCGTTGCGCAGAACATTGCAATAGAAACGGTTAGCGGCGGGAGCGTGTCAGACACAATAATTACGCATCGAACATATGGGAACAGCACTCATACCAGGGCAGGAAAAGGAACAGCCAGAAGAAATGTCAACAATTTTTATTTACATAAGGTAGGCACTGACATTACCAAAATCCACTTGACCTAAGACCGAATTCACCGAATGAGGTCGAATTGATAAGAAAGTAAGGTTGAGTGGACCACGGCGGGATTCATCGCGTAAATACGAGCAAACCACATCCAACTCAAGATTTCTTATGCTCGCAAGACAGTCCTTTCTGAGACTAAGATGATGGTTGCCCCATAGAAAGAGACTGAAGACGGGCGCCACTTGATCGACAATTGAAGGGTTCTGGGGGCAGGATATGCTCCGCTTCCTAACCCACCGCACGCCACGCCTACCGCCCTTGACAGTCTGTCAGGTGTACTGTCAGGTCAGAGTAAATGTTGTGTCACCGCGATAACTAACAGGGATTCCGGCCGAACCCTCAGACTTCTCGAGGGAAGCTAAGGCCCTGGAGTGGTCACCACCAAGAGTGAGAAGACGGGATGATGTGCGGACACGGATGGGATGGACACTCCATGTCCGCATCGCATCATCTGTGCGTCCAGGGGGATGGTCAGGAAGACATATGCAGATGCACATGTGAAATGCAAGATTACGGATGTTTTTTACTCCCTGCAGCGGGATCTTGTATGCTTAGGGTTTAGCTGAGACAGAAACAAACATAAGCATACTAAATCTCTTTCAAGTTTCTTCAACGTCGGGACGCACCACCACTTGGTGATCAAGACGCGCCGATCGTGTCTCTGGATTCCAAGACATTTTACCCCCTTTCAACTCTTTTCCGACTCAAGACGTATGAAAGAGGTGGAAATTCCATCAGAGTTATCAAATGAAGACCTTTTGTCGAGCCCACAGGGGAATAGGCACCACAGCCGCATGGACAGTTGGCGTCGATTAGCGCTTCTCGCCCTCAGCAAACAACAAACGCCACTCTTCCGATGTAACCGCTAGCTGTATCATAGGAGGCCGCCGCGTCTTGCAGCCGATTGCGCTAGCTTCGAGGCCGCCTACCCGCCAGCCGCAGAAAAGAAACTGGCGGGAGCGTTCCTGGGTAATGGGGTAAAAGTCCGTAGCTTTGACGGTGGGAACTCTTGGAGCTGTGCCTTTTTCAGTCTAGAAGAGGCGAGTGAACGACAAGGCTCGGACCTCCTCATCATAACTAGTGCAATCCTCATATCCGCATTGACCTCGAGCCTCTCCCCTACCCTACGGCCTAGGGAACGAGGGGTGGCTGTCTCTAATACCCTCACTCTCGCAATTGTCTGCGGGCTGAGAGGCTTCTGGTCCTGCTTGTTGTGTATTTCCCACCTCTCACTACAGTCATTCGTTCGTGATCGGGGCCTTCCTTCATTTGAGGTGCTTCTTTTCAATTCTAGCTTTACTTACACAGCTGCATGACAGGAGCATCAAGACTTCAAGCGGGCGTTTGCTGACCGTCGCTTGAAGAAACAACTGCATATCAATATACGACCTTTTCAACATATAAAAATATACAACAGAACAGCAGGACCTGGATAATAATGCACCATGGTTGATCAGGGAATCCACGGAAGATGGTACGAAATCGTGGGGAAGATTTTCAACCGGGGCCTAATTGGAGACATTCTCAACACGCCCGGCGCCATCGTCAGTCAAGTATTGTCGTCGCCAGCGACGACAACACAGGAGAACGTCCAGGCAGAGGGTACGCCAGCGGCGGCGGCAACGACACAGGCTGCTGCTGCGCCGGCTGCAACAACACAAGCAGCCGCTGCTCCTGTAGCCGCGACGACATCGCCGGCCGCACAACAACCTGCTGCATCGCCGGCAGCGACGACGAAGCAGGAGCAACAGCAAGCTGCCACAACACCAGTCGCTCAGGCGCCAGCAGCGGCAGCGACCACATCACAGCAGGCAGCCCAGGCATCACCAACAACAGTTGCAGCAGCAAACCCTCCGGCGGCTTCAACTACCTCTTCGAAGGTTGCAGCTGCTGCTTCATCAACACCAGCTGCAGCTGCTACAACTATTCCGGCAGCCGCCGAGAATGCAGCCTCATCACCAGTGCTATCACAGGCAGTTACACCACAGGGGACGGGAACAAGCGTGACCGGGCTTGGAACTGCGGGTACCTCAAGTACGAGAACCGGTGGGACCAATGCTACACAAACACCATCACCAAACTACGAGAATACATCACCATCAAACAGCCAGGGACCATTGGTTGCCACTGGAGTCGTGCGTAAGTGCATCTCCGCAATTCAGCTGTATAGCTGCGTTTATACTAATCGATATGCAGTGGGTATCGTAGTGCTCATGGGACTCTCCCTCTTGATATTCTGGTGCTACCGACGGAAGAGGAGAGCAGCCCGGCATCGTCATGAAGCCGTCGCCCCCGAGAGTCCTAGTAACGAGTACGGTCCGGCCTCGCCTTTCCGCGACCACGTCGATCAGAGCTTCACTGAAATGACTGAGACTCGCACGGTCTCCAGCGAAGATGACTCCACCATTCGACACCCCGAACCCGGGTACCAGCCTCCGTCTCAGCCGCCGATGTCGCCTCAAACACAAGATACACCAAGAACAAACCCATATGCAGCAACTCCTTTCTCATACGCTCAAGCACAACAATACGTTCAATCGCTCGCAGGAACAGGGACCTTCGGCTTCCCTCCACCACCCCCTATCCCTGAGCCATCACCTATACGCATCTTCAGATGGCCGACTCGCTCATCCCGCAGCGGCAATTCTACACCCAGCGTCTTCTCCGCGTTCCGCACACCAAAGACGCCTACACGTACTCTCTCTCGGGCTTCTCGAAGTACCGTGTCATCGATGCTATGGCACGGCCGCAGAGATGTCGCCCGGAGAACCATAATCCGTGCTCCCGGATCTCAAAAGTCGGCCAAGTCGCGTACCAACGGCTCTTCCCATAGCCCCGAGAGCACGATGCCAGAGGGCCTGCATACTCCCATCCTGGATTGGCTTCACTGGATCCGCGGCCATCAACAAGTAGAGCCCGACCCAGAGATGAACCATCGCAAGAGCTTCGCCAGCACCACGGAGAGCTCCATTTCCGAAACAAGCGTTGCAAGCACGGCCAGTAGCGGTGTCTTCTCGCCCACACTCCTTTCATACCACCCTCCGGCCAACACGCCAAGTATTGCAACCGATACTATGCAATATCTACCTTTGCCTCTATTCAAGAAGAGGGCTAGTGACGTCAATAGTGAGGTCACGATGGAACCGTCCGGAACCGTCCGCATCCCAAGTTTTGGATGACGACAGAAAACAAAACCTAATGACATCCCATTTTTTGGGCAACAGTCGCTCATTGCATGGCTCAGGTGTTCTGATTTAGCAAATACTCTTTTTTCATTCAGTAAATATTAAATCTGAACAAACTACTCAAACACAATGTGCCTAAGTCTCAACTCTTCAATTAGTCTAACTCAAGGCTCTGTGCCATCAATGATAACTTCTCGTTCCATGCCGTTCTTGTTCCTCCCGAGATGAAAGCATGCATAAAATGCGCACCCTGACACAAATCCAACAATGCCGAGCGAGCCATACATCCAAACGAGGTAAGGGTCCTGCGAAACAGGCGCAAGCGCAATGCAAATGGCGGCGGCTATGCCAATAGTCAGCCAAAACAGGGCGGACACAACCGAACGAAGACTGAAGTTAAATGATGTTGTCAGCAATGGAATCTTGTTGAGACCCCTGACTCCTGAGTCCAGAAGGGATACCGGTAAGCTTACTTCTTTGGGGCCTGGGTGAAGGCTAGCTCCAGCCCGGTGACGATGATGAACGCCTCGGAAAACGCCACGAGTATGTAAGCGGGTGCCTGTATCCAGACATGGATACTTTTCGACGGAGACGTGTAGATATAGTGTTGTAGGACACTGGCGTAGACCATCGATACGGAGGCGAATAAGAAGCCCACGAAGATTCGGGCGACGGGATCAAAGTCGATGCGATATTTACGGAACATGGGATACACAATCACTAGGAGGATTGATCAGTATTGGCACCGCAGAACCAAGCGAAACCGTGGAAGCAATTACCCACCGTCTAAGAAAGGGATGAAGATGCACAGGGCGATAGGATCCAGATTCTGTAGCAGATCATTTGGAGTCCCATGCAAGGCCATCTCACCCGCTTGAGAAATGAGATTATTCCAGATTTGGATCCAGCAAATGAAGTAAAGGGGGAAGAACAAGAACATCTAGACATTGAGTTGGATGGTCAGCTTTGCACTCATCTCGTGCAGACTTTAATGGAAGAGGAGCATCTGTGGACTTACCTTGCAACTCTTTAGACCTCGCATAACGTCCATCACGTAGTCATCAGTATATCTAGCCTCACTTGCCATTGCGTAGTCTCCATCATGTCCGGACTCTCTCAGAGCCGAAGGAGTCGCGTTATTGAACCCCTTTTCTTTGATAGCGATGCGAGTCACTTGGAGAGCGTCGATTATGGCAGAGCCTTCTGGGGGAACCTTGACGTATTTCTTCTGTCCAGAGATAAAAATGGCAGCAGAAATGATGATGGCACTATGGCTGTCAGCGATGGCAAATGTCATGAGAATTTCGTTCTCTTACATGAGTGGGATAAGGTATGCCAGCCAGAACGAATGGTGTGCCTCGACGTTGACAGTGATCAATGGCGACAATGCCCCAATGTTGACAACCCAGTAGAACCTGTACAAGTGTTAAGAACTCTAGGATATTTACGTAAAATATAGCTTGGAGATGCCTACCACATGAAAAGTCTCTGGACTGTTAGTTCAGGGTCTACCAACACTTCTTCGCCTGACTTCAAAGTTCTGACCACGGGGTGTGTGTTCTGGTATTGTTCTGCACACATCGGCGTCACATTGGCCTTGATACCACCTGTGCCGAGTCCAATCGTAATCATAGCTGCAATCAAACCGCCAAATCCCGCACCATTTGTGATCGAAGATGGCGTAGAAGTTGCGACGAGAATGACGAGGCCGACAATGTACACGGCACAGGCCACAAGAATCGCCTTGAATTTTCCAAGGTACTGGTCTAACATCCTCAATGATTCGAAACAAGAGTCGTGGCGAGGCCGAGAGTGAGTCCCAACTTACCTGCGATGATGGCTCCAATCACGGTGGATGCGTAGGCCCAGAACTTGAAGAAGTTGCCCAATGCTGTAGCTACTGCTTGACCCCGGCCAAGGGCCCCAGGCAGATCGGATCTAGGATCATAGGGATTGCTATCGATCATCAGAGTCATTCAATCTTTCAAACATGCGTACTTCTTTGATGTCAGGTTCTTGCCGTCCTTACTTGATGTAGTTTTGAATTGGCCCGCTAAGTCCGAAGTACGTGAACCTCTCTCCGAGCTGCAAACCTGTGTTAGATCTCGTAATGTACTAAACCCTGGGATTCTGAAACGTACCTCAACAACTAGGATCAACAGTGCAACGGTTGGGAGCTTATCCGGGACTCTTCGCAGACCTTGCCATTGTTGTGCAGGCAACTTGAGTGGCTCAACGGGTTGCACCTGTGCCTCTTCTGGGCCGGTAATGCGATCCTTAGTATCGGCCATCATGGTCGCTCAGCAATAGTGCATCTGGAATCTGAAAAAGGTAATGGTTGTTGGTAATCAAACGATATGATCCAACAGGGTGGCATATCCTGAAGTCAAATACATGACCTTGATTCTCATCCCGATTGTTCACGCTCCGAGTCTTGGTTCCCTAGTTCCTTGACTCGATCCGGCGCGGAGGATAAAGCGGGGTCTCCCGGACATGGACAAGCATCATCAGATACCATGGAAGATAACGCTGGGGCATTTTCGCAAGTTCTGATTGGTGGCGTTCTCTGGCCTATCATTGACTATACACCAAGAAGAACGCCGCCAATGAAGTTCAATACCGTCATCAAAATGGGGATTTCGGCCGTGGTCTCCACCAAGATCGGCCATTTGAACGCCGCCAATGGGGTGTAAACTCGGCGGCAGACGGCAATGAGGATGAAGAAAGGTCCTCCGGTCCGGAGATAGAGGCCCGATTGAGAGATAACGTGGGTTGATATCAAAGTGATTGTTTCTTCAATGCCCTCACTGTTAATATTCGCTGACGGAGTTTCAACCTACCAAATCTAGATTTCCGTAAGTCAATTAGACTTGTTCGACTATGACTGTGATAAGGAAACCCAAAGACTTACAGCAGACGCCGGAGCCAGCCACTGGTAGACTTGCTTTTTCCGCAACCAACTATCCCGGTATCGACCCTCAATGGGTTCAACTATGGAACGAGCACGGCGGATCAATGGTGAGAGCGGACGAAGTTGCACTTGAGAAATATCGAAAGGATCCGGCCAAGTACAATTTTACCTACCCAACATACAAAGGTTCGTTTCTTTTCACTGCAAAAGTGTGTCAAGAGGGATGCTAAGAGGTAAACTCAAAGGCCCAGAAGTCTTCCACGTAGAAGACCGAAAAGTCCCCGTGACTGCACCTGCTGGGAAGGTATCCGTAAGAATATACTCACCTGAGGGCCCCGGGCCTTTTCCAGTACATCTCAATTTTCATGGAGGTAAGATAAAGTCCGGCTGATCTGACGACACTGCGCTCATATTACACTCATAGGTGGCTGGGTACTAGGCGGGCTTCAGAGTGAGGCTGCATGGTGCCGCCATATTTGCAATAAGTCCAACATCAAAGTCATCGATGTAGACTACCGCATGGGACCAGAGCATAAGTTTCCGACCGCCATCTACGACTGCTGGGACGCGGTTAAATGGGTCAGTACTAACTCGAGCCCGATCTGACAGCTTTTCAACTGATATGCCGTGATGCAGGCTATCAAAAACGCGGGTGGGCTAGACATTGATCCCACAAGCGTTTCTTTCGGCGGGCTTTCGGCAGGTGGCCAGATGTCAGCGGTACTTGCTCATTTTGCAAGAGACGAGGCCATCGCAATTAAGTTGCATCTCATGATTGTTCCAGCTACCGACATGAGATATTGCCACAGAAGCATCAGTCAGCTCAACGAGTCAAATTGCCCATATGAGAGCGCTCGTTTATACCGAGATCTTCCTTGGGGGCCTCTTGGCCGAGAACAATGGTTTTTGAAGTATTGGCTCGGGGACGATGATGGTGAGTATATAATGAGACACTGTATTTTTTGGTAGCACGCGCTCATTCCATGATAACAGACGAACAAGCACGATTGCTCAACGATTGGATCCTGACGCCGGTACTCGCGCCAAACTTTGCTGACTTGCCGCCTGCACATATCATCACCGCAGAGTTTGATTTGGAAAGGGACGAGGGAGAGTATTACGGGAAGTTGCTACAGGATGCAGGGAACGAGATTTCGATGAAACGGTACAAAGGGGTTCCTCATGCATTTGCTCACTACAACCATCCAGAGTGGGGTCTTTCTAGAAGTCTTGAGTTCATCGATGATACGGTTGAGCTACTTAGGGCTGCGCATTATGAGAGCTGAGGGTTGAGATCTCCAAACTTGAAACGGCTGTTGGGACTTGCTGTTCTTACCACTTCATTGCATTGGGCAAGTGGCGGAGATCCAAGCTCCTAAATATTGGATCTGCGTTCTCTTGCCCGGATGCTAGGGTTGCTTCAATTGTACAGGCAACAGCTCAAAAGACCTGCCACCAGGTGTTGAGGATTCCAAATGTTATCCGACTAGAGGCCAAATCGTTTTGGCCAAGGCCGCTCATGTGCAGACAAACACTATGCGACATGGCAGAGAATATGAGACGTACATCATCCAGAGACCCTGGTCAAACGGAAACGTAGTTCTCGGAGAATATATGCAGAGGGGTGCTGGGTGACTCTCTTTTCTTGTACTGAATCTCGGCCTTGAGAACTTTTATCGCTGACGTCTATTGTAGAACGAGCGACACTTTGCATACGCGACCGATTCCATTCTGCAAAGAACATCTGATCTTAGCAGCGAGCTCACCCAAATCGAGTCAGAGATGCTTGCTAGCTTTTCCCGTCTTCGGCCTTCGCACGAGGGTGGTGCCAGAATTGAGCGGGTCGAGCTGATTGTCGATGGCCAGACGCGTGTTCTTGTACACAACTACGGGGCGAGCGGCACGGGCTCCAGGCGGGATATGGCATGGCGTTGGAGGCTGTCGAAGCCATTGAAGATGTTCTGCAAGGCATTGTGCAGAGTGATACGGGAGCTAAACTTTGACTTTTGGATATTAATTCGAGTTGATAGTCACTGTAGAACAAGCCCAGAGAAAAGACAAGCATTCATGCAGAATTCGTGGCCTTGAATGCTGCTTCGATGTGCTCCTCGAGATGGAAGACGTTGGCAAGCCCACGCCAAAAGAGAGCGTCGATTCTCAGTAACCCCAGGCGGAGGAATGAAAATGACGCCACTTTCAATCGAAGACTCTTCCGTGTCGACTGCAAATCAGTAATCCAATCGAAGGCCTCTTGGTAACTATGTGAGGAGATAGCCATTGTCATTTGAGTAAAGCAAATCGAGGAAACTATGAGCTGAGTCCAAGATGGCCAGAAGACGTTGTCTGTGTCTGAGCTTAAGATCTTTATGACATCGGACAGACCATGAGTGCAGTCTCTCATGGCTTCTCTTTCCTCTTCCATTGGACTCGCCCTTTCCTCAGATGACTTGTAGTCTGTTGAGCTTTGGACCAGTACTGGACGAAGTACAGCCCGCAAGATGATCATGCGAACGTAGAGGTGGGCAAGACGATGAGAGTTTGTTGTCGAGTCTGCCTGGACTGCGACAGAGGAAAGGTTTTGAAGTAAGGGTTTCGTCAAGACACAAGTCTTATCATTGCTCTTAGCCAAGTTATTAACAGCGCGGGTTGAACTGTTGAAAACGTTAGCATTGTTGGGGGTAAGACAAGAAAAGATACACCTCTTACTAAAGGCTGGTGAGTGCTGAGTTGAGAATCTCAGTCACGGCGGAGAACTGTGATAGCTGTGTCTCGTCTTCATCCCTAATTCCGGAACCAATAGAACTTCCATGTTCGATCGCGGTAATGAGCCAGTTATCTCGATGAATCAGTGTCGGTGACCCCTGAACGCAGGCTGTCCATGTATCGACGGCAAAGATGCAAAACGATAGCCTCTGCCGTTGAGCCTTTTGCCAATCTGGCATCGACCACCCCGAGGGATCCAGATGAAGACCTAGTGTGGTTGCGCAGGCAACCAGCCTCCCCAAAATGTCCCGTCTGTATACCGTATCTGCGACGAGAGGATCTGCAGATGGGCGCAAAGCAAGGAGTAAGAGAGTCTGAGCGACCGCTATGCTCGGCGAGTGGACTTCGTAGATGAGAGCCTTGTTGATAATTTGTGCCAAGGCAGGATAAGGGGGTTTATCATATGCAACGTCGACACTTAGCTTATCGTCATGAAGGGCAAAAGGTAAAGTGATAGAGTAGATAGCGGCAAGGAGATACGGAGATGATGAAGATGGTTCTACAGGTCGTGATATCGACAGAATGGGCCACCGGGGCTGGATGAAGTCCCAGAAGAGTTTGATGAGACGCTGACCAACAGCGGCTGGAATGATGTCTTCTAGTTCCTGTCTGTTCACAATGACTCCTAGATAGTTGGAGCCAGCCTCTTGTCTGCGACGAGAGAAGATGGATTGCTGTGAGATGAGAAACTGACAAGGGACTGGTTGGTCTTGCACCGAGTGAATAGCAAGCTCCTTGAATCCGAACATGCCGTGGTCATCAAATCGATAATGACGCAGAAGGAGAGGGTCCATGTCACCGCTGAGACCTAGCAATTGGGGGTTGGTACCAGGAGGATACTCGGCCTCCTCCTTCGAGCTTGACTGACGAGGTGTATTCATACACACGGCTGAAGGTGTGCTTGGAGCCTGCGGGCTTCGGAACATGGCCTCGAATTCGGACTGGGTCGTGGTAAAGTTGAAGTCTCCAGTATAATTCAACTGATCAAGCTCCTTGTCTGGAGACTGCGGGATAAGTTGTGTTGGACTTGGCATTGTCATCGCTGATGCAGCCATCCGTGAACCAACATGAGATGAGCTCGACCCGTCGCCTGTATTAGGGCCGTCATCGGACGTCAACAGCCTCTTCCTTGGTGCAGCAGCCTCGACGAAAGTACACTGTCGGTTGTGTGATACGCATAGGCGGCATGGCGGCGCTTGATCAATCCGACAGGCGGTCTTGCGGGAGCGGCAGAAGTCACACGGGCGCTGGCGCTTGCTCATATATCTTCGCTGGTGACCAGACATGCTGCTGAAATGACGACGAACGCGTCGTGGCTTTTCAACAGCAAGCAACTCGTTGATCAGACTGCCTGGGAGCTTGCTTACAAACCATGTATCAGGACAAGATGTAGAAACACCGAGCTGCTATCAAAGCCACTGTTGGACAAGATGAAGGCAAGGCAGAGCATGTGGTTGATGTCTCGCCCGGCTTGAGTGACGGGGCATGACAAGAAGAAGGTGCTTTTCGAATCAACAACGCGCGTGGATCACGGGTAAGCCAAACTTGAGTCCGCAGCTGGCACCGCCTGGCGAGCTGCCTGTCCCATAGCTTTCTTATAAGAACATGAAGACATTGAACCTCGCAACCAAACGTAAAACTAAGCGGAACTCTGAAATCTTGTTTCGACTTAGAGTGACCGAGTCCGATCTCACTCGGATCTATTTCACGCACGTCTTTTAAGACAGTTCGGTGCATTCAAAAGAGAAACTTAGACTCAGGCCTCCAGGTCAGTCTTCAAACTCTTTGGCCAAGGAACTAGGCGCATTGATAATAATACGGCGCCGATACACCCTGGCAAGTTGACCCGGACTGGAAGCAGTAGGTAGTTGTTAGTTTCAACCATATAGGAACGGGACTCGAGCATGAAAAGATGAGCAACTTACGGCGCAGGTGGTGCATCCCGTCCAACCCTGACCACCACATTGCGCATACTTCTGAACAGTACACGACGGCGGGCTTCCAGTCCCAGGAGACGTGCCTCCTCCACCTACAGGCGAGACAGGAAGCGCCGTGCCAACAGGTCCCTTAGCTGCGTCGCACGTAGAAGCGCAACCACTGCATCCAGAACCTGCCGTCTTCGTGGTTCCGATCGAAGCAACAGCAGGACCAGGGACCGTATATCCAGACAGCTTCGCATGAATATTGACAGCGATACCCGGGTCGCTCGCCTTGTAAGCCCCCGGGAAGCTAACCGTCGCGGGCTTCGCCGTTCCCGTGCCGCCCGAGACGGAGAGCTGGAAGCAGGTTATGTAAAGCTGCGCTCCGCCCGACGGACCGGCCGCATGGAGCGCGATGACTTCCGCGCGAAGAAGGTAGTCGCCATCAGCGATGTCTCTGCTGATGGGAACGTCCATCTTGCCGCAACAGGTATTGAGATCTTTGGTACCCCAATTATCGTCGTCGCCGGAGCCGGAACCGGATTTAGCGGACCAACCATCTTGGAAGATCTTGAACCAGCCCGAGGAACCGTCGGCTGTGGCGGCGTTGTCGACTTTGCTGAGGTAGACTATGACCGGGCCGTAATGCGCGCCGCCAATGGCTTCGTTCTTGCAGCTTCTGTCGCCGTTTTGCTATTGCGGCCATGTATCAGTGATGATCCGTTCGTTGCCATGAAGGATCTGTAGCATTACCTGATGCATTTCAATGGTGACTGCTCCACCAGCCTTGACAGGGCATTTGGCATTCACGCCACTGGTTCCGCCGACGTTGCACCTCATTTCGTTACCAGCGACATTTGTGACAGGCGAGTTGCTCTGAGGCAATCTTGCACACTGCGAGCCTTGAAGGGGAGTCAGTCATGGTGCCATTTACATCGCTAAGGTAGAAACGTATCATGTCAGTTCCATCGACCCAAAGTTGCTGGAAAGTGGCATGGGCGGCAACTTGTCTACCGGCGATCGCTACGATCGCTGCGAAAATGTTCCACTTCATGGCGACTTTAGCTGATGAGCTCAGTAAGTGTTAACGATAGAAAAGGATAATAACCAGTCACTTACGAGCAAGGCAATCCTGGAGTCGGAAACCACTTTCATTCTTATAAAATCGTCGATCTGCTGGTTGAGTTCTTATTGGACGCACCAGACCGTAAACGGGCTTCAATATGTTTCTCATTCCTATGATCTACCAATATGAACTATTGTCATCATTGTTCACATTATCCTTAGCAAAAGAACTTTGAACATCCTTGGAAAACCCCGAATATGGGATCGGCCCTTCCTGTTACTTTTGTTGGTCCCGTGGGTTACTGCCCCGGCTAGGCCGTCTCGGCATATATGTTGACCCAAACTTCAATGTCTGTAGCTCCACGGGGTCAACATTGGCATATGAAAGCATTGGCCACGAGCAAAGCGCAGTCATGTTGTTGTAGCATTGGAACGTTCACTAGCACAACATTGCAGTCCAGAACCCATATAGCCGGTCGGCCGGTAGAAGTCGCCGGCCACGTACCTTCCGTAACCGCCGTAATGCGACGCAGGATACTTGGGATTGGTACTTTTGAAAGGTACTCGAAAGGCTGGTCATCTGTCATATATTATTGAGATCATTTCAGCTAGTATGGTCTTCAACAAGGCGGTGGCTGATGCTGAACTGTACTTGAGCGGGATGTGACAAGCAGAAAATAGTACTAAAATAGCAGAGAATACTTTTGAGCCAACTTAGGTATCTGACATTACTTCGTAAACGTACATACATGTATCGCTATGATATCAAAGTGCCATCCACCTCAAAAACAAAACAACACTGGACTTCTAACCTCTGAGCTGTCAACGCGTGGGCAAGGCAGCTAAAACAAACCAAGTCTGTTCTACAATGGAAAACCAATTAATCTCATAAACCAACGAGCAAAGACTTTCATGATGGGCGTTGCAGGTACCGCAAGATCTCCGGGTCCTGGCTCGGCGGACACTTCTTCCCATCGACCCCGATGGAAGTCAATAAGATAGGGTCCTCCACCAAAGTCTCTGGATGGACCTCGAGACCATAGGACAACTCTACCTTGGCGCAACGCGCTGCATCGACCAGCGCAGGTACATCGATCTCATTATCCCCAGTGCCCGCTTTGGCGGCACGAATTAAAGCCTCTCTCTGTGCTGCAGGTATACTCGACACCCGCCCTGCGAGCTTTGAGCCTGGCGGCGGGGTTGAGCTGCCCCATTCATAGTTCATTGGCCGTAAGAGCGCGGCGCCAGTCTGTAGGACCCAGCTCTGGGCCGCCCCCATGTCCTCAACTTCCTCCTCGGCCTTCTTCCGCCACTTGGAGGGGAGAAACTTGGACAGCACGTGAAGCGTACTGAGGAAGCCTCGTTTGACTGCCTGGAAGAAGCCGTACACGTACTCGTCGGGAACCTGCCGTATCAAAGCACCCAGCGGAATTACAAGGACACCAAACAGCATCGACCATCCCCACTGCGCACCATTGAGAGGGCGGGTGTCGAAAGCCTGACCACCCTTCCAGATGATGATCATTTGCCCGGCCAGAGTGGCGCACTGCACCCCAATGAACCAGGGGTTGCGGAGGACGCCCTGGTACCAGATGTTGAGCTTGTTATCGACACGACGGCAGTTGTGCTGGTTAAAGAACTGCATCCAAACATAGATGTTAAAGATCATTGTCTGCAATGCCTCGCGCTCTGCGGTTGTGGTGGGATGGAAGAGTTGGTCTCCCGCGTAGTGGAGGGTGAACATGACTGCCAGCTGGTAGATTGCTTGGCCCAGGATCATCTTCCACATCGTGATGTTTACAATGGGTGCTGTGCGTGGCTCTGGCCTGCGTTTGAGGAAGTCTGGTGAGGGATAGTCTGTTGCCAGACCAAGCGAGGCGAAGATGTCCATGATGAGGTTGATGAAGAGTAGTTGAACGACGGTGAAGATGGAGTCTCCTGCCAATTCGGAGACAACAGTAAGAGTTCCGGCGGTAATATTGATTGTGAATTGGAACTAGAACCTTATTAATGTCCGTTACGCTGACTCAAGGACTTTGATCTCACTTACTTGGAGGAACTTCTTCACAGCTGTATTCACCGTGCGACCCCATACTAAAGCCTTAACGATCGAGGCAAAGTTATCATCAAGCAAAATAATAGACGCAGCTTCTTTTGCGACTTCGGTTCCTTGGATTCCCATGGCAAAGCCTACATCCGCGGCCTTGAGAGCCAACGCGTCATTAGTGCCATCGCCAGTCACGGCAACTGTCTCTCCCATTCCTTTCAGATGGGTTACGAGCAGGAGCTTATCTTCCGGGCTAGATCTCGCCAGCACCTGAAGCCGCGGAATGACCAGATCCAGCTGAGCGGGGGTCAGCTTCCGGAACGTCGGCCCATCCATTGCCAAGCCGCCGGCTGAATAGATGCCGCACTCTGATGCGATAGCTTTTGCCGTCAGAAAGTTATCTCCAGTGACCATACGCACAAAAACACCGGCCTCCTGACACTGTCGCACGGAATCGAGGACCTCCGGGCGAAGGGGGTCGCGGATCCCAAAGACGCCGATGAATGTCATGTCGGCAAAGTGCTTCTCGAAGTTGATGGAATCGGGATCGTCTGGGTTCTCGAATGGTGCTTCGACTTCCTTGTAGGCGATGACAATCGGTCGAAGCATTTGCTTGGCATACTCGCGGATCGTCGATCGCAGGTCTTCTCGAATCTCGGTCGTAATCGGCTGAACGGCAAGACCAACCTTCGGTTCCTTGAGGACGTGTGTGCACTGGTCAAAGACGACCTCGGCTGCGCCCTTGACGAGGAGTCGGTGTTTTCCATCGGGCAGCTTTGACATGACTGCCATCCACTTTCTTGACGCGTCAAAAGGAAACATGTCGACAATCTCGTTGTTTGCCCTCTCTTCACCAAGTGGCCCCATGGCAAAAAACTCGCGGCTGAATCTCAGGAGAGCAGTCTCGGTGCTCGTCCCCACGAAGCCGGCGTCGTTCGGATTATCGCTCTCGAACGAAGTGGTGTTCAGCGCGATGCTGTTCTTCGTCAGTGCTCTCAAATCGCTGCTCAAGGATTCCAGCAAAGCTTTTGGGAGTTCCTGGTCTGAGGCGTCGTCGGTGCTCGGGTCCTTCTTCACATCATCATTACTGATTTCTCTCGGGGCGTCACCGAAGCGCTCATGAAGTCCGATCCTGCCAGCGACGACCGTCATGCTGTTCTGTGTCAATGTTCCCGTCTTATCCGAGCAGATGCATGTGGCATTGCCCATGATTTCACAGGAACGGATGAGGCGGACGAGGTTCTTGTCCTTGAGCATTCTGGTCGTGGCAAAAGCGAGAGCAAGGGTGACTGCTAGAGCTAGGCCTTCAGGCACGGTGATCACGACAACAGTGACGGCTAGGATGAGAAGTTTGAAGAATGTCTCGGCCTTTTCAGAGGCGGTTCCGCCCATGGTCGGAAGCCCGACGAGGAAACGAATGAATAGGATGAGGAAGAAGATGATACCGGCAATCGCGCCAAACGTGATGAGCTGCTTTGCCAACTTTCCGAGTTTCTGCTGCAGGGGGGTTTCCTCGACGTCTTCTCTCAGCGACATCAAAGTTCTGCCATATGTCGAGTTGGTTCCTACCGATGTCACCAAGTACGCACCGACACCGCCAGATACCGTCGTCCCGCTGAGAATGAAAGGGTCAGTCGCCGAAGATCTGTGGGCCTTCTTATTGCGGACATCGCTTTCGCTAGGCACATTCTTGTGTACAAGTTCGGATTCGCCCGAGAGAGAGGACTCATCGACCTGAATGCCGGAGCCCTGAACCAGTACTCCATCGACGGCAACGACATCTCCAGTCTCAATGTGCATGATTTCTCCAACCTGCACGTCGTAAACGGAGATGTTCTGTGTCTTGCCGGACCGTATAACCTTGACGTCTCTTTGTTCTTTCCTCTCGTTGAGCTTCGCGAACCTGGCGTTCTTTTGCCAGTCCGTGGCAGCACTGGCGAATACAATGACCAGAATAGCCACCACCACGGTGACACCATCCACCCATTGGATATTCGGCTCGTCATCGGATGCATCTACTGTTTCGTAGATACCAAGCGCCAAAGATATCGTGGCGGAGATCGTGAGGAGGAACATGAGCTTGTCGTTGAACGCGATCCATGCTAGCCTCAAGAATGATTTTTGTTTTCGTTTCGGGAGTCTGTTCTCGCCATAGATGCGCCTCCGGTCGGTAAATCCCTGGGCTTCATGTTGGACCAGGTCTAGGTCCAACTTGATACCATGCTTGTGTTGTGTCGGTGAAGGTAGAGGTGTGATTGTGGCAGCCCGCTTTGCCTCTCCTGCAGCGATAGCCTCCTCGAATGAGATCGTGCCCTCGAGGCTTGTCTCATCTACACTAAGTCCAGCGGCAAGATCTGTTCGCAAGCCTGCTGCAAGGCCGGGAAGACCACCGAAGCGTCGGAGTGCTGATAGGTTGCGCGCAGTGATGAGCTTGTGAAGTTGGGCCGGCGTGAACGCGAATCTATTGTTCTCGATGACAGCATCATCGCGAAGGTCCAATTCCTTTTCATTGTCCTCTAGCTGCCGGGCGAACTGCTTGCTGAATGGGTCCTTTGTCGGGGTTTGGCCTGTATCTAATTGGCGCGGCGCGGCGGCCGTGATCTCGTCGGCCATCGTCTCGTGCCTCCAGTCGCCAGGAGAAGTTTGTTTGGACGGCGATGGGCGTGACGACAGACAGATGTTCAAGATCAGAAAGGGCAAGAATTGACGAGGAGAAGAACAGAGACACGCAGCGCCAGTGTGTCCATAATCCCATCAACAGCAGGGGGGAGACAACAGTTGGTAATATGTTATGGTCATCTGGAACCGACCTTTGGGGCAACGGCACGGATCTGAGAGCCGCGTCATTGCATCTTGGCGAATCTCACATTCGTGCCGAGAAAAATCCAAGGCTTCTCGGCACGCTGTGAGGATGTTTACTGGTTGGGGTGGGTAGACGATGTCTGGGACTAGACTCGTTGCACAAGCCTTATAGCCCTGGGTCGTGTGGGATGTGGAGATCAACGGGCCCGCCAGGCAACTGAATCGGATGTGTTTGCAACCGTCCGGTGTACGGTGGCACGTGGGCATCGGTCAATCCGGGGTTGTTTGCCTCTGAGATGGCCTTCGGGCGAGAGTGAAGCGGAGATGCGTGGTCTTGGGTGACTCTTCGGCCGTTCGCGGTGGTCATCCGGGGCACTTTGACGCCGTCTTCTCGGTGTCGGCGTGGCAGTGTTCTTCGGAGGATGCGAAGGAGATGTGGATATTTGCAAGGAACGTCTGGCCTCAAAGTTGGCTTGGCCCAGTTATGTTAGCGGCTGTTCGGCTCTCAAGTGGCTTGGCGTGTCTAGCGAGAGACTTGGCTTTGCCCCATTGACATCATCCAGGGTCTTGTTTGCACGATGTTTTGTTTCGTACTCTTTGTCAGAGTGTTGTGTGATTGTTAATTCGAAGAGAAAGTGTCTTGATAATTGCACATAAGTTGCTTAAGCAGGCAGACGAGGGCACTCTGTTTGCTGTTTCATGAAGTGAGAGACACACTCACAACCCAAACTGACCTCACGTTGGCTCATCGAGTTAACATCAACATAAGCTCCATATTTAGTTCTCACAAGGTTATGGGTTGGGGAATTGGGTAACATGAAATGCCGGATTGATTTCGTCTTTGATCCAGGAGGACCTAGACTGGCAATGCAACCGGTCGAAAGTGTAAATACCTTGTTTGGGGGTTCGGAACATTCCTACCAGGTTCAATTAACGTTCACGACATCCGTTACGTTAGATTGACTGGTATCATTCAATGAGTACTTCATTCAATATCAAGCTTGAGCTCCACTATTCATCGTGGAATTACCCGTCCCAAATCTCCATGCTATTTCAATCAAAGACAGCTGCAAATGCATTCGGCCATCGGACAATGAGTTGGCGTTGTCCGCTCGGACTAGACGTTATGGTCACTAGCGCTCGGCCTCGTGCATAGGTAATGAAACTACAGCACGACGTACGATGACCGCAATCTTGAACATCGACATCATCATTATTCAACCTGTGCTTTAGAAAAATATTGCAGCATCTTTAAACCACACGGGTATTCTGCCGTCTCAATTGAAATCACCAATCATGGCATCACCAATTCGTAACGTTGCCATCATCGGCGTAAGTCCTGTTCTCAGTTCTCGCGGGAGCCTCCCCTTAGAGTGAGTTTGCTCATGATCAAACACTAAAGCTCCAGATCGTAGGCGACTGGCCAGATGGGCTCTCAAATGGCCAAGACCTTGCTCGAGTCCGGCTTCAATGTCACAGCCATACAGCGCTCCGAATCCGCCAAGACCGTTCCCTTGGGAGTCAAAGCCATCAAACTCGACTTGAAAGATGTTAGCGCCCTAACTACAGCTTTTGAAGGCCAGGACGCGGTCATTTCAGCTGCGCCGGACCCCATCGTTTTGGAGAACCAGAAGCCATGGATCGACGCAGCCGTCGCTGCCAGGGTGAAGCGCATCATCCCTTCCGAGTACAGCACCAACGTGGACTCGTCACTCGCCGAGGGTCTGCCCATCGTCGTCGACAAGGTCCGTACTAGACGCTATCTCATCGAGCAGATTTCCAAGACCGGCAATAATTCGAGCTGGATGAGTGTCAACAACGGGCCCTTTTTCGAGCTCGTTCTCGGCTTCGGTGGGCTTGGTCCAAACTTCCGGAGCAAGACGGCTCGGTACCACAATGGCGGCGACAACTTGATCGGAACGACGAAGATTTCGGATGTCGCTGAGACGATTGCCAAGGTCTTCCGTGATGAAAGGGGACTGTACAAGGAGGCTGAAAATAAGTCTTTGTACATCTATTCCGCTGCTGTCAGTGAGAAGGAGTTGACGGAGATGGCGGAGACTGTGACGGGTCAAAAGTTTGAGGTGCAGAACTTTGATGTTGAGGAGGTTTACCAGAATGCCAAAGTCAAGTTTGCTGAAGGTGACAGGTCGGTCTGGATTGACTTTTACTACCAGATGATGTATGGAAAGGGGTACGGAGGTAGCGAGAGCTTCCAGGAGATGAGTTGGAACGACAAGGTCGGATTGAAAACCATGAGCAATAAGGAGGTCGAGGATGCTCTCAGAAAGGCGGCTCAACAGGCAGGTCTGATCTGATCAGTCAATATATATGAGTCAATATATATGAGTCAATAGAGATGTGATCGTATTGTAACATTCTTCCTAATCGAACATGCATGGCTTCAATCCTAAAAGCAGTCTGAGATCCTTTAACCAGTACGCCGCCGAACCAATGTGACAGTAGCGTAGCCCCTCAGAGCTTCGAACGACCCCTCCAAGCATGTCCCATCTCGTCCTTGAACGTGGCAAGCTCATTTCTCTTGCTGTCGCCGCCGTGGCTGACCTGAACAGGCTCGTCAAACACAGTCTTGCTCTTCTTCTCCTGTCTCTTGTCCGCATCAATGTACTCCCGCTCTCCCTCGCCAATGTACAACTGACGCGGGCGCCAGATCTTGACACCTCCCTTTTGCAGCATCTGCTGCCTCCAGTGCGCCAACCAGCCAACGCAGCGGGGCACGGCGAACAAGACCGGGTAGAAGTCGAGCGGGAAGCCCATGGCCTGGTAAATGAGGCCAGAGTAGAAGTCAACGTTGGGGTACAGGTTACGCTTCTTCATGAACTCGCTCTCGCGAGCATACTTTGCAAGCTCCAGCGCCGTGTCGAGGAGCTGGTTGCGGCCCGTGACTGCAAAGACCTCCTCAGCCAGCTGCCGAATGGCAGTCGAACGGGGGTCGACGTTCTTGTAGACGCGGTGGCCGAAGCCAACAAGTACGCGTTCGCGCTTCTCAACCTTTTGCATAAAGGCGGGAACGTTCTCGGGGCTGCCGATCTCCATTAGCATGCGAATCGCACTCTCGCTGGCGCCGCCGTGGCTGGGGCCATAGAGCGCGGCGCAGCCGGCAGAGACGACGCTGTAGGGGTCGACAAGACTTGAGCCAACCTGCAGTACCGTGGCGGTGGAGCAGTTGACCTCATGGTCGGCGTGGATGATGAAGAGCGCGTCGAGGGCGCGCTCCAGGACAGGGTGAGGCTGGTACTCATGCCCGCTCAGGTGATCGAGTAGGTACAGGAAGTTGCCGGTATAGGTGAGACCCTGGGCCGGGCGGTTGAACGGTCTACCCTGGCGCATGCGGTATGAGGCAGCGGCTACCGTGGGTGCCTTTCCGATGATGCGGAGAATCTGCTTATCGAGCATCTTGAGGGCCTCGACGTCGCCGGAAGCCGCGTTGGTGTACAGCTTCTGGCCCTGCAAACTCGGGTTCGACTCGGGCGCGAAGGCACCCATTGAGGAGAATGACGCCTGTAACATGGCCATCGGATGTGTGTCGTAACGGAACGACTTGAACATGCCCTCGATGTCGCTGTGGATGTAGGTGTGGTGCATGATTTCATCTTGCCACTTGTTGTATTGTGACGTTGTCGGCAGCTCGCCGTAGATGAGAAGGAACGCTGACTCTAAGAAATGCGACTTGTTGACGAGCTGCTGGATGGGGTAGCCGCGGTACCGGAGGATGCCCTCTAGGCCGTTGATGTAGGTGATGTTGCTCTGGACCACGGCGGTGTTCATGTAGGCAGGGTCGTAGACTCGGAGACCCTGGTCGGTCTCATCCTCAGCGCGGTCGTTGCCGCGAGCGGCCTTGATCTTCTTGATGTCCGTAGCCAGTACGGAATTTCTGGTGATGGGCAGCTCATAAGACTTTCCAGTACGGTTGTCGACAATGGTCAGCGACTGGCGCGGCGCGCTGGTTGCGCCACGTGGCGCGTTCTTTGCAACGGTGACCATTTTCCGAGAAGAGACTGGGGTGATTCTGAGATCTCAGTTGCTGGCTTCGAGAGATGAGATGACAGTTTTGCGGAATTCAATGGCTTTCAATAGGACGTTGTTTGAGCCCGGGCGGATGGGATTTCAGATGCTACGGACAATGTTCCTTGTCCGGAGAGCTTCTCCTGAGCAGCTGAAAGCTGCGCTAAGACCGTCGGTTGACGTCGGGAGATCGGCAACTGAGCCCGAGTGCCGAGGTTCAACTGCAACTCTCCACGAGTTCCACAGATCCCCAGATTAGTGGCTGAAGCTAGCTGCATTTGCACATGCCAGGGGTGGGATAATGATTTAGTGAGAAGCTTCCATCCTGGTCCGGGAACCTCCAGATGACCATGTCTTCTCTGTCGGACCAGCGGCGTTTCTTGTGCCCTCAGTGAACATGGCATCATTCTCAAGTACTCGTTCTGGTGGTAGTGGACATGATATTGATGTTTCGTCGAATCCCAATGCATGTGATCGAAAGCTCCGACCAAACGTTACAGGGTGCTTCCATCGATGTACGGGTATTGCTAGAGGTCATGCATTTTGGGTGATTGAGCTCTGTAGGGGTATTTCGAACAGGCAGTACCATAGAAATCATAGGATATATGTGGGATTTGAGAAGATAAAAGAAGAGCAAATTCTTTCGGTTCCAAAAAGTGTTCAATTCCTTGTAGCGATTGCGGTCGTGACTTGTAAAGCCACTCCCCAACGTAGATCCGCTCTCGACTAATGCCAATCTCATAGGCGCGTTTGCACTACAGGGGTCAACTCTGTCTCTCACTCTGTGTGAAGTACTTTCTGAACAGCCGTAAAAGACTTCATAGCACTGTTCTTAGGTTCTCAAGACAGGTTCTCGGAAGAATATCACATCTATGAAGGATCTTCAATGATTGATGTATACTAAGTTATGAGATGACGATAACTATGTCGGAGGACTAAGAGGTCGCAACCAGATTGAAATCCCAGCCTCGTGTTTGTAGCGATGCCCCGGGACGACACTTCGTCCAAAAAATTGGTCCTAACTTGGAATAGTTTTCGAAATCTTGCTGTTTCACTTCATTTATATATGTCGATCGTCAAATGTCACATCAACTTGAAGATACCTGTACCAACTTGCGGGTTCAGTGTCTTGATCAACCCTGGTCCATGCAAAAATCCAAATCCAAAAAATAAGACTCAGGATTTGAAAGAAGATGACCAGACTTACAACGGCGACAGGCTTCCCCGCAAACCCGCTCAGTGGATTGACTACTTTTAGCTGTGCAGTTTGGGGTAAAAGCAGGGTGGCTGCTTTGCTCCCTCCGCACTCGCAGGTCACCTCCGGATACTCTCACAGCGCACCACACATCACTGCAATTCAACTTCCTTTTTCAATTTATCCTCCCAAAAGATCTCGGGCTAACTGATCGCGCAAGCAAGCACGCCGACGTCATTCACCAGATTCATGGGATTGAGGGGAACAACATGCATCTCCAGCACCCCGGTTTGCCCGGATCGTCCTCCGTGTGGAGGAATCGAGACTGGTAATTCTTCCGGGTAAATTGCTACAAAACGTCGCTTGTGCCAGCTCTTCTAGATGTCTCTGTATGCTTGCTCCAAAGTCTTGTGGGTCTGCAAGCCGCATGTAAAAGACTCTAAATTCAAGGCATCACGATGATTTTGACACTCCTGTGCACCACTTTGCTACCGGTGGTCGCACTGGGGAGCATCGACCGGTGAGTCTAGGGGAGTCCCCCGGCGATTCACCGTCCAACTGACATATCCTAGACAGCGGGTTGTGTCTCAATTCAATGTTGTCCGTACTAACTTGATCGATAATAACACCACGCCATTGCAAGTTGGCAATGGCAACTTCGCTTTCAATGTGGATAACACAGGCATGCAGGTGGGAACTGAATCCAATTACGCTACTTGTATCTCCCAATACTCTTGCTGAAGCCATAAACTCTTACAGACCTTCTTGCCCTTCAATACACTTTCAAGCTGGGCCTGGCACAACGATTCGCTTCCAACCAACGGGTATGTTGATCGTGTCGCCTCCCAAGATCCTGATCATAAACGTCAAGTAAACTAACACGGCTCTTACAGCGAGAAGCTCAGCGACTACACAGGCGTTCCTATGCTAACCCATGGCCGAAATGTCTCCTACGATATCCCCGATTCGAAGCTTACCCAAGTCTCACAATGGCTCATCAGTAATCCTAACCGCATCAACCTGGGCCGGATCGGTCTGAAGTTCAAGGGAGAAACACTGTCGGCAGCGGCGATCGCAGAACCAAGACAACAGCTGGACCTGTGGAGCGGTATCATCACCTCAACTTTCAAAGTTGACGGGAATGCCGTCAAGGTAGTTACACAAGGCGACTTCGCAACCGATGCCGTTACATTTCAAATCGAATCGGATCTCGTGTCCTCCGGCGACTTGAAGGTCGAGCTCGATTTCCCGTATCCGCCTATTCACACGACAAAGTATAAATACGAAGTCTTTGCCGGCGTGTACGACTTCCCGTCGAACCACACGACTCGAATCGTTAATACTTGCGGCCGATCCGACCTGGCGCATATTTACCACGAGTTGCAGGAGACGAGCTACTACGTCAACCTGCGCTGGCCCCACGAAGCCCCTCTTAACCTCTCACGAGACGAGCCAGAGGGGTCTGATAAGATTACGGCTCATCGATACACGCTTTCTCCTGGTGGCGGTACTAACCAGACTTCGCCATCTTTTACCTTCACTGCGGACTTTTCACCCCAGAAGCAGGATCCCCGGCCCCCGGCCGACGTTCAAGAGGAAAGCATCGCTGAGTGGCACGACTACTGGAACAAGGGTGGTTTTGTCGACCTGACATTGTCTTCGAACCCTAATGCCACAGAGTTGCAGAGACGCATCATTCTATCGCAGTATCACGTCCGTGTGAACAGCGCGGCATCCGGCCAATCACCACAGGAGAGTGGGTTGATGAACAATGGGTGGTACGGTGCGTACAGACTCTTCTGCCGCGTCATGAGAGATGTGCGAAGCTCATTCTGGCAGGCAAATTTCACATGGAAATGGTCATCTGGCACAATGCCCACTGGGTGACATGGGGTCGAAAAAGGTATTTTGACAACATATTCCCAGAGATTTACGAGACGCTGCTTCCATCTTCTCTCGCCAGAGCAAAATCGCAAGGATGGGAGGGGGCCAGGTAGGCTCACTTCGATTGCAAAACTGGTGGGACTGCAATCTAATAGCACTCGCAGGTGGCCCAAGATGACGGAACTAGAGACGGGTGTCAGTTCCCCTGGTGGAATTAACGGCCTTCTACTATGGCAACAGGTACTGTCCCCGATTCCCAGATCGCGCGTCGGTTCTCAGCGAAGTGTCTTTTTCTAACAAGACAGCCTCATCCCATGTATCTCGCAGAGCTTGCGTATCAGTCTTCGCCAGGCGATGAGACCCTGAAGTCATGGGATGCAGTCCTGACGGAGACTGCCGACTACATGGCATCGTACGCCTGGAAGAATGAAAGCTCGGGACACTATGATTTGGGTCCGCCGTGAGTCTGACCCTCTTGCAGACTGAGACGCAGAAGTCTATGTGTATGCTCATCATAGGGCCTTCTTAGTTCATACGGTGTAACTGAGAATACGCCACCATCACAGACATTGAATCTGGCCTATGAGGTAAGCTCAATCCAGCAAATCCGCCAAAGGTCCCATCTTACATCGATGTAGATCGCATACTGGAGATACGGACTCGATCTCGCGCGCGAGTGGAAGAAGAGACTAGGCCAAGCGGTCCCCGAAAAATGGACAGAAGTAGCTGAGAACCTCGCCCCGCCACCACAAGTTGATGGTCTGTACGCGGTGTATGAGGGGTTGAATGGCACATGGTGGCAAGATCCAGCTCTGAATGGAGACCCGCGTAGTCTCATCATGATGCAGGGGATACTGCCAGACACACCAGCTGTCGACCCAGTAGTTGCGCTGAAGACGGCGGACAAAGTGTGGGATGTATGGACGGATCAGAGAATCCGCGGCTGGGGGCGGCCGGTGCTGGCTATCAACTCTGCGCGGATTGGTAACCCGGAGAGAGCTATCTATCACTTGACGGCGTATGATTACTGGAAGTTTGATGATGCTGGCTATGCCATTCGAGGTGGGGATGGTGAGTTAACTACACTCTCTGTGATATTGGTGCCACTGCTTATCGTTCACCCAGGCGGCACCCCTCCTCCTTTCATGCCTGGAAATGCTGGTTTTCTATATGCAGGTAAGTTGTGACCGTGACATCAACATCAAGAAACTTGATGGGCTGATGATTGCTAGTGGCGTACATGGCTGCTGGCTGGCAAGGGTCAGAAGGTGATGCACCTGGCTTCCCGCAAGGAGCGGGATGGGTGGTTAAACAAGAGGGTCTTCAAAAGGCACCTTGAGGAGGCTACATAGTATCGGTAGCTTCGTATGATGAATGACATCTTAGACGGCTTTACCTCAAAAGGGGACTTCTAGACGTGGATATGGCCTGAGAACAACAAATTTGGCTGAGCGATTTTGGGCAGATGCTGGATTACTAGAAATATCCTGCGTGGTCTTCTACCACTCTCTAATCTCTCCGCCGGGTCCAATGAAGCCAGGACTGACCCAAGCCTTCGCATCCTTGGACAACTCACGAACTTGCGCCTCATCAATTTCAATACCCAAGCCAGGACCAGTAAGAAGGTCAATGTAGCCATCCGTAACCTTCCAGACCTCCGGGTTATGAGTATAACTCGTCAGGTCCTGACCCGTGCTATTGTAATGAATACCCAAACTCATCTCCTGGATCACAAAATTCGGCGACGCAAAGTCAACCTGCGCATTCGCAGCCAACGCAATCGGCCCCAGCGGACAATGCGGCGCCAACGCAACATCATACGCCTCCGCCATGGCCGCGATCCTTCGCATTTCGGAAATTCCGCCGACGTGAGAGATATCAGGCTGGAGGATATCCACACAGCCGGCCTCAAGAAACGGCTTCACGTCCCAGCGGCTGTGGAGGCGCTCGCCGAGGGCAATGGGGATCGAGGTGAGGTGGCTGATCTCCTTGATGCCGCCCAGGTGCTCGGATAGCAGGGGCTCCTCGATGAAGAGCGGGCGGTGAGGCTCCAGGGCTTTTGCGAGCTGTTTTGCCATGGGCTTGTGCACGCGGCCGTGGAAGTCGACGCCAGCGTCCATGCCGAGGGCTTTGACGGCCTTGACGCGTTCTACGGCTGCGTCGAGGGCGTCGGGGGAGTCGAGCCAGCCGAGGTCTTCTGTGCCGTTCATCTTGACGGCTTTGAATCCCTGCTCCTTGCGTGCTCGTCTGTTGTTGAGAAACCCAATGATTAGAAAGGCTGCGTGTCTGAGAGAATGGTTGATTGGTTTTGTTCACTTACGCCTGCTCTTCTACGTCGTTTGGCCGGTCACCGCCGATCCATGCGTAGACTTTGAGCTTATCTCTGACCTTTCCTCCTAGGAGCTGCCAAATTGGGAGGTTCAGCTTTCTTGCTGTTGACTGTTAGTAACGACATCGAAGATATGGCTGCAGCGAGACTGCTCACCCTTGAGATCCCACAAGGCAATGTCGATGCCTGCCAGCGCGCTCATAAAGACTGGCCCGCCGCGGTAAAAGGTTGTCCGCCATGACATTTGCCAAATGTGCTCAATGTCGCTTCGTAGGATCAGCAACGTGACGCTCAAGGATTGTGTAGGCTAACATACTCAGCTTCCATGCCCGAATACCTCTCAAACCAAGCGTCAAGACAGCCTTCCACGGCTTGAGTGTGGCCCTCGAGGGATGCTTCACCCCAGCCGACGTTACCCGCCTCGTCAGTGATCTTCACGAATAACCACCTGGGTGGCACTCGGAAGTACTCCATCTTTGCGATTTTGCCCATGATGAAGTTTGTTTGATGACGTTTGGGAAAGTTTGTAGGGAATCTGGAAAGTAGGGAGGGGGTCCAAGCAAAGGTTCGGTTGCTGGTCTCAGTTAACTTTGGTCTGGAAGATGCTCTCAAACGACCAGCTTACTTGAGGCAATCGTGAGCTGATATTACCACCACAAAGCGGAGCTCGACGGAGTTGAACGACGGGAAAGTCGGCATGAAGTCCGGAACCTCTCCGACCCGCCTCCTCAAGCCGCCTCTCTTCGTCCGATCCGCCTCCGCATCGCATATCCCTTCCCGTCGGAGAAGGGAGCATGGGTATTACCCGGCCACACGCAGCGGTGGAGAAGGGTGGGATGAGGTGTGCGGGGTTCGGTACACCCTCACCCGAGTCCATCACCAGGGTAGGGAGGGGTGGTGCGGGGTCTTCGGTGTACGCTTTTCCGTCCGGTGAGGAAACGTGATGGGTGAGGGACGGAAAAGGTTCACCGAGGCAGTTTACAAGTTCCGGTTGATCTTATTGGTGACTTACAGAACCTCTAAAGGTCTATCTCCGGTTCTACCAGAGGTTACAACGCTACGGATTCTGGTTTATGCCAATGGGGAATCACATTTCTATTATTCCATGTCTATGCCTGGCCTGCTCTAATCTTCTTCTGCTGTGCTACCCAAGTCTCTACCGCCTTCTTCAGCGTCTCCGGGTCCGACTCGCCAAAGATGTCTTGACCGAGGCGGGCTGGGAAGTTGTAGCGGTGCTTCCTGTCCAGGGCGTTGATCTTCTCAAAAACGTCTTTGGGGAGCTCAAACACTAGTAGAAGTCAGTGCCTGTCAAATTGACAATGTAAACACCAGCTTCCATGATCACGTACCTTCAAAGTTCTTCTCGATTCTGGAGGGAGTGACGGACTTGGGCAACACGACCGTGCCTCTCTGTACAGACCAACTGATGATGAGTTGCGCCGGCTCCTTGCCGAGGGACTTGGCCAGCTCAGCAATGGTGGAGTCGTCAACGGCACTGATGCGGATTAGTCCATGTACTTCACATAGTCTTCGGAAGGGAACACGCGGGTATCTGCTGGGCGCTCACCGAGGCAGGTTGTAAATGTTGTTAGCGAGGGGGCTATACGCCGTAACCACAATACCCTGCATTCACAAGCAACAGATTAGCGACATGGAGCCTACAACGGGAATGCAACATCGGAGAATTTCTCCGCTCGGCTGGACTCACCTTTTCCTTGGACCAGGCCAAGAGGTCAGGCTGCTGCAGGTACGGGTGCGCCTCGATCTGGTTCACCGCCGGCTTGATCTCGGCCTTGTCCCAGAGATCCTCAATCTTCTCGCGGGTGAAGTTGGAGACGCCAATGGAACGAATCTTGCCCTTCTTGACGAGGGCCTCCATGGCCTTCCACGTCTCGATGACGGGGACGTCGATGACGTCGACGGCCTCGGTGACGGGGTGCAGGGGAAAGCGGGTGGCATCGTCCTTTTTGTTGAAGGATACGGGCCAGTGAATCTAATGCACGACATTCTTGCGTTAGGATGGCAGATCAAGAGAACCAAAGTGGGTGTAAGGCAAGACAGAAAAGGTTAAGGTGCTTACCAGGTACAAGTCGACGTAGTCAGTCTGCAGGTCGCTGAGGGTGATGTCTAGTGCCGTCTCTACATCCTCTGCCTTATGGTGGGTGTTCCAAAGCTTGCTGGTGACCTGAGGGACAGGGATCAGCCCTTTGACGCCCGATGCGGTGCCCAGGAGGACGAAGAACTTACAAAAATGTCTTTCCTTGGAACGCCAGAAGCCTTGAGACCTTCGCCGACTTCCTTTTCGTTGTCGTAGACGGCTGCCGCATCAATGTGGCGGTACCCCGACTTAAGGGCATGCTCAACAGCGTTCTTGACCTCATTGGGCTTGGATTGCTACATTTGCACACGGTCAATCAGATGGAAGTTCGATCGTAGCAGGCTGTTCTCGCAGTGCTCACCCAGGTGCCCAAGCCAACTGCTGGGATCTCATGTCCCGAAAGAAGCTTGAAAGACTGAGCTAACGACATTGTTGTAGAGCAAGTTGGTATCTGCGGTGCTGCTTCCGTGATCGGATGTAATTTGTACAGATGAGAGTCAGATGAGGAGCAATTATCCGCGTGCTTTATGTTGGTCTATCATATGTCACTCTCTACACAAATAACAAATTTCCCTAGAGCTCTTATATCTCCAGTTTGAGGCTGTCGTCACTCCCATCGAGCCTGCAAGATTTCCGCATCACACAATGAGGGGGGTCTACCACGGTCCGTTGGCACGGAATTGGCCTTAGGTAAACCTCTTTTTCCGGTCTTTTCCTCCCGTTCCCCTCCCCCCCCCCCCCCCCCCCCCCCCGCTCAACTCTGCAAGGCTCAAGCAAGACGATGTCCGACAGCCGGGACTCGTCCGTGGGAAACCACTTGAGGAGCTAGAGATGGTCCAGACGGGATGGTGTCGGGATGTTCCCCGCTCGGTCGTTACCTTTGGCGCAACTTGACTCCACCCCCGCGTCATCACACCCCGAGAACGCCATCGAACAAGTCCCTAGCGGGATTGCCGAGGGGCACCGAGACCGGGTCTGACACGTTTTCCATCGTGAACGTAAATTCCAACGAGGGGTTCAACAAAAACCTCGCGACCAAAAGAAGACCTTTGCAGCATCGTGATACCCAGAGTCGTCAATCTCAACCCCAATTCATTCCCAAGCGAAGCTCAGTCTCCCACAGCGTCTTGCTAGTTCATCACCCTCTATTTCTCACTCAAATACACATATACACATCACAATGGCGGACGTCAGAGTACCACCCACGGGCGTCTTCGTCCCAGTCCCAACCTTCTTCCACTCGGCTTCCGACTCAGCCGGTGCCCTCCAGCCCAAGGTCGACATTGACACACAAGTCAAGCACAGCGTTTACCTCGCAAAGAATGGCATCCGCGGCCTGGTCCTCCTCGGCTCGACCGGTGAGGCCATCCACCTGAACAAGGCCGAGCGTCACGACCTCGTCGCCGGCGTCAAGAAGGGCCTCGAGGAGGCTGGTTTCCCTGACTACCCCATCATGGCCGGCGTCTTGACCAATGGCATTGACGAGACTCTCGAGTGGCTCGAGGACTACGCAAAGGCTGGCGCCCAATGGGGTCTGGTGCTCGTTCCCGGATACTTTGGAACGGCGGCGAACCAGGAGAACATCAAGGAGTGGTACACTGTCGTCGCTGACAAGAGCCCTCTGCCCATTCTTGTGTGAGTTCTTATCCGTACAGTTCCGCTGTGCATGCGCGAGAGACATTCATGCTAATGTGGGCGTAGATACAACTACCCCGGCGTCACAAACAACGTCCTCGTCGAGCCCGACACGTACAAAGACCTCGCCCAGCACCCCAAGATCGTCGGTTGCAAGATGTAAGTTTCTCCCCCAAAGATGGCCCTCCCAGACCCCAGGCATTCTAACGCGATCTCCCCAAAACCACCAGGTCCCACGGAAACGTCTCCCTCCATCTCCAAGTCTCCTCCGACCCGCGCATCGACCACGCCAAATTCCGCGTCTACAGCGGCTTCGGCCAACAGCTCGCGCCCATTGTCCTCTTCGGCGCCGCGGGCGTCATCGACGGCCTCGCCGCCTTCTACCCCAAGACGGTCTCGCGCCTCTTCAGCCTGGCGGAAAAGCGCCCCGTCGAGCAGAGCACCCTCGAGGAGGTGCAGCGCCTTCAGTACGCCGTCAGCCGCGCCGAGGACTTCATCGGCAAGACTGGCATCATTGGTATCCGCGAGGGTATCATTCGCAAGGCCGGCTTCGGCGCGCTCGAAGGCGGGCGGTTGCCGCTCAAGGGACGCTTGGATGAGGGGACTTTCAAGGCGTTGGATTCGCTCTTGTTTGCGGATATTCAAAAGATTGAGGACTCCTTGTAAAGACTTTGCCTTGAAGTAGTATAGACGAGTTGGAGCCGGGAGCTTACGAATTGCATGATTGGCCATGATACCAACATTGAGAAGTTGACTTAGCCGTACCGTGACTATATTGGTGCCACGGAAAAGCACACTGCTTGTTTGGCATGTCCGTGTCTGTCTCATGGTAGTGTTACGCCATGTGGACCTTGATGCCAATGAGCCCAGTGGCCGGTCTATTCCCCATGATCCTCCCTAGTAACGCCGTCCCTCCACGTTTCCCCGCGTCTGCTCTGGCGCCGTCTATCCGAGATGTAAGAGGGCTGCTGTAAACGGTTGTCTGCTTGCGGACCAGGCCTGTGTAGCTACGGTGCAGCTGGACAGAACGATGTGTGGACCTGTCCGTGTATATATGGAATAATAACAACTGCTAGCTACATCGAATTGAATATGCTGATCTCGCGTCACAACCTATTGATATTTTGACCAAGTCAATACCTGTAATGTCTGCCAACCTACCTTCCCAGAATACAGAGCTTCAGGCCTCTGGGCCTCAGAGCACAGAACATGGCATCGACGAGTTCAAGCCGAGTGCGACCCAGTTCGAGACCACGGAAGAAGGTGAGCCCCAGAAATTCAAGCTTTCCAGGGTCGGTGGAGATGTCGCCTTGGCACTCTTCGACAACGTGGGCGAGGTGCACGAACCCATCGACCCGGAAGAGGAGCGTCGACTAGTCCGCAAGGTAGACTGGATGATTCTCCCATACATTTCAGTCTGCTATGTCTTTTTCTATGTAAGTCAACGTGCCTCGTCTTTTTGCCAAGCACTGCCCCCAAAAGGCTTGATTTCTGCTGGCCAAGATCCACGTCTAACAAGGGCAGATTGATAAAACCACCCTCTCGTACGCTGCCATTTTCGGCATCCAGAGTGATCTCGACCTCAAGGGCACCGAGTATAGCTGGCTATCATCAATCTTTTACTTTGGGTTCTTGATATGGGCTCTACCTACCAACTTCATGCTCCAGAAATTCCCAATTGCAAAGTATCTCGGCCTCAACATCTTCGCCTGGGGCACATTCCTCATGCTCCAAGCTGCTGCACCAAACTTTGGAGCCCTGGCTGCACTTCGTGCTATTAGCGGAGCAGCAGAAGCATGCGCTGATCCTGCCTTTATGATCATAACCAGGTCTGCAAGCCTCTGCCGTTATCATTTTGCGTCACCATCCAGATTACAGAACGCTGACAGCTCTCAGCATGTGGTACACCCGCCGAGAGCAACCCATCAAAATCGGCCTCTGGTACACCGCCAACGGCATCGGCATCGCCTTAGGCGGCCTCCTAGGCTACGGCATCGGCAACATCAAAGGCGCGCTGGCGTCCTGGAAATACGAGTTCATCATCGTCGGCACCCTGTGCTGCGCGTGGGGCATCGTCATCGCCGTCTTTTTGCCGGATAACCCGATCACGAGCAACAAGCTCACGAACCGCGAGAAGAAGATTGTCGTTGAGCGGTTACGTGAGAATCAGACGGGCGTGGAGAATAAGACGCTGAAGCTCTATCAGGTGCGCGAGGCGTTTACGGACTATAAGTTGTACTTTTTCTTCACCATTGCCTTGTTGCAGGCGATTGTGAATGGAGGGACGTCTAATTTTGGGACTCTTATTATCAAGGGTTTCAAGTTTTCGACGTGTAAGTCCGATCCTTCAGTCTTTACCGCTGAGATGTCTATGGTCTTCTAACGTACCGACGTAAAGTGATCACGGCTGTTCTTCAGATCCCATACGGGGCTATCATCTTCATCGCCATTTTAGCGTGCGTCTTCATCAACGACAGATTGCCGCCTAACAACCGATGCTTCGTGTTGGTGCTCTTCTTGTTACCCAACGTCGCCGGGGCGTTTGGCCTCCGCTTCGTGCCCGATGACCAGCAGGTCGGCAGGCTGATTTGCTACTATGTGCGTTTTCGTGAATGCGTTCCTCCCAACACGCACCGTTCTAACAAGTCTCAACTTCAGTTGACCGGATCCATCAATGCCTCATTCGTGCTACTCCTCTCACTTCAGACCGCCAACATCGCCGGACACACTAAAAAGGTCGTCACCTCGGCATGTCTATTCCTGGGATACTGCGTCGGCAATATTGCGGGTCCGTTTTTCTACAAGTCTGACCAGGCGCCCAAGTATGAGTTGGGCATCTGGAGCATGATTGTTGCTCACTTGCTTGAGGTTGTGGTTGTGATTGCCCTACGGTTCTTGCTCAAGTGGGAAAATGATAGACGTGACCGGATGCACGGGGAAGTCGCTGAGGTTGATCTGGATGCGACGGCGTTTGGAGATTTGACGGATCGCGAGAACTTGAACTTTCGGTACATTTACTGATAGAGGGTCTGGTCTGTTGAGTTATAGAACTCTTGTCGTATGATTTGTGCTGTAAATGTGCGCTCTGACAGAACCCCATACATGTATCTTAGATCATTGTAAAGATTATTGTTGGTCTCGAAGCCTAAGCTCTCTGTATCGCGTCTCTCCATGGCCCATTGTCTACAGGCACGGTAGAAATCAAGCCTCTTCAAGCTATGTGAATTGGAAGTATAGTGTATTCAAATGACTCACGTGAGAGCGATCAACCTATCTGCATTGAGAGGGAGATACATCACATGTCGAAGAGCACTATCGTGGACTTACCCCGGATAATGATCCGCAAAGACGCGGTTTTAATTCGGGCATAGTGAAGGGCTGCCGACGCCGGTGTATTTTGCGCCGATGGACAACCGCTAAGCTCAGTCAACTCGCGGAGCTTCACCCTCACCACACCTCATCCAATTCTCATTGCGCCCACAAAGACTCACCACGGCATCGATTGTAACGCCCTGTTGTGAATCTAGTGTTCATCATGTCATCTTCTTCACCTTCCACAAGGCCGCCGTTCTCATCCCTTCCCCTGGATCCTACTGGACCTCCTGGAAACGCATGGGGATTATACGGCAAAGACGACCGCTTAGGGGCGCTGAACCTTCTCACCCCCGCAGTCGTGGCCGCCGCGGCAGCATCTGAGATTCAAACCGGCCAACGAGTGTCGCTGGACTGGTCGTTGAACAATCCCTCTCAGCCAAGCTTCGACCGGGCGCCGTTTGAGTCCAGACTCGTTAATAGAGCTCATCCGAGTGGTGAGAAGAGGACCGTCAATGATGATATATTACACTTCAACACTCAATGTAGCAGCCAGTGGGACGGCTTCAGGCACTATGGTATTACTTGCGCAATTCAAGACTGCTAATAAGTGAGCCATGGCACTAACTGCAATGACCCAAGGTTACCAGAAAGCCAAACGCTACTACAACAATACAACTCAAGACGATCTGGATAATCCAGGAAATATTGGCATAGACGGCAAGTTTACCTTTGAAATTGAGCATCCATCCTCACGCAATACCTAACTTACAGCGCAGCGTGGGTTGAAAAGGGCGGCATCGTCGGCCGCGGCGTCCTCCTCGACTACGCCAGCTTCTGTGCCCGCCACGCACTGCCCCTCGACGCCTTCACCAGCAGCGACATTTCCCTCGCCCATCTGCACCAGATCGCCGCCGAGCAAAACATCACCTTCCGGCCCGGCGACATCCTCTTCATCCGCTCCGGGTTCACGGCAGGCTACAATGCCAAAGACGACGCCGCGCAAAAAGCCGTCGCCGCGCGCGCCAGCCCGGACTTTCTCGGCCTCGAGCCCACGAAAGACGTGCTCCGTTGGATATGGGAGACGGGCTTCGCTGCCGTGGCGGGCGACGCGCCGAGTTTCGAGAGGGCGCCCATCGCGGGCCCGCATACGGCCATCGGCGGCGTGTGGAAGGGCGAGGCGTGGGAGGAGGAGATGCAGGGAGGCGGTCTGTTGCATCAATGGCTGCTGGGAGGTTGGGGATTGCCCATTGGGGAAATGTTTGATCTCGAGGCTCTGAGTTCGACGTGTCAGGAGCTGGGAAGATGGACGTTTTTCGTGAGCAGTGTGCCGCTCAAGGTAAGTCTTGAAGTCTGATTCTCCCCCCATTCGTTCGTTCTTTTCCATTACTCATGTTGGAGGGTATGTCGCCTTAAAAAAGTGTACTGATGATTTGTTTCCATGTTAGGTTCCGGGTGGTGTTGCCAGCCCTCCCAACGCCGTTGCCATCTTCTGATCCCGCCTGTCCGACAGCCTTGGGATGATCATGCTACTTAGAGTTTTGGCCACGTTTTGTGAGAACAATAGGATTGCCTTGGTGTTCTAGTCTTCTTCACCTCGGTGTACAGAGTGTTACTTATGTGCCAATGTTCCTTTTCTGGCCTTCCCCGGTGACGGGATATTGCTGGTTCGCTTGGCTTCGCTCGGACTTTGCGGCTGGTTGGCGCGTTTGTAGATCCCTGACATTTTTCAAATTAGTGGTCTGTCGTCTCTGGAACAGAATTCTTCGTCTCTGTGTTTTTGAAAGCTTGGCGAGTTGTCAGCACATCATCGTTCAGAGAATCATCTAACTCGAATTGGTCACCTCTCATCTCGTGTTACTCCCATCCCGCCTCAAGACCCCTAGCTTTGCTAAGACACCTATGCCATGTAAGTTGGTAGCTCCAAAGAGTCACGACCATTTCCCCCAACCATCCAACTCAGTGTGCCAGTCTAGACGATTCGACTCGGGGGTATCAGGGGAGCCTCCCCCGCAGGAACCATCCATCACCCACAAGGATCACAAAACTAGAACCGGATCAGCAAAGCGAGACCAAGCCTAGCCGCCTAAGGTCACAAAGATACTAGGAGGACGGGGGTCGGCCGGGTACCCCGCATTGTCTTCCCCATTCCCAAAAGGATTAAGAATGAGGTGACATTTCCGTCTTTCCACGTCCGCCGCGCTGTGATTCCCCTCTCTCTTCCATTCACTCGACCATGTTTCCGTGTGTCCAGCTCCAGCAGCAGGATCAGGGGAGTCTGCCGCCAAATTGCTGCCGCACCACGGAGTAAGCCCCCCAAGGGACACGGCAAATGGACCTGGACACCGACGGAGACTCCGGTGTCGGCATCGGCACCGGCAGCAACGGCAACGGCAATGCCAATGCTCACGCCAACGCCATGGTGAATGGGATCCATCACCCCGGCGCTCGCCGCCATTCCCACTCACACCACAATGGGGGAGGAGGAGGAGGAGGTCTTGGTAATCAAAGTCACGGCAATGGAAACAAACACGGCAATGGCAATGGAAATACATCGTCAAGCGGCAACGGAACAGGGAACGGCCGTCATGGCAGCACCAGCAGCGGCAGTATTCACGTCCACCACGAGAACGGCAACGGCAATGGAAATGGAAATCACAACCAACACCAGCAGCAGCTGGCATCCCCGCCGCTCACACATCCGTCGAATCCGACCCCTCTGACGGAGAGCGGGAGACGTCGTCGGAACCGCGACAAGGAGCGCGTCCGCGTCACCCGCGCCTGCGACAGGTGCAAGAAGCGCAAGATACGCTGCACAGGCATCCAGCCCTGCGAGTTGTGCATCCGCACCGAGTCCCACTGCACTTACAACGCGTCTTATGCACGGGGTCGTCAGCCGCCGGTGGCCACTCGGGAGGATGTCGCCCGAATGGACCTCGATGGCCTTGACGTCTCTGTCTCGGACCATCCCAACGCTGCTGGTGGTGGTGAAGATGCATTGATGGGCTCCTCCATCGTCGTGGACGTCTCTGACCCCGGTGATACTGACCATCAAGACGAGACCATCATGAACGGCACAAGTCTGGCCGTCGTTGGCAGCGTCGGCCCCGGGACTGCTGAGCCTCCCTCTCGGGCCTCTCCTGAGCCAACCCAGACGGATCTCCAAGGCCATTATGTCGGTCCCTCGTCTGGTGTTTCCTTCCTGTTGAGAGTCCAGAAGCGCCTTCACCAAGCCGTCTCCTTCTCACAAGCCTCCTCCATCTTTACCTTTGGCGATGCGCCGCTCCCCGACTTTGACCCCAGCGGCGCCTTCTGCGTCCTGCTGTCCAAGGAAGAGGCCACGACGCTCTTGAAGAGATACTTTGAGTTCGCCGTGCCAACCCATCGCTTCCTGCATCGCCCCACCGTGGAAGGCTGGCTGGAAGAGTTCTACGACACCATGGGTGCCATGAAGAGCCAGGAGGACGCGCCGGCCCGGAGAGCCTTGCTATTTATGGTGTTTGCTCAGGCGCAGGAGTACATGGGCACCACACATTCGCGTGAGAACGCAGACGCAAGGTAAGTCTTGTCGGAAACTCTGCGGGGGATACATCTTCCGTCCCATGTCGTTTTGCAATCTTTCATTGTCGCATGTCCAATGTCGCACTCTCCAACGTTCCATTTCACTAACACGTGAGGACCAGCGCTCGATACTTCTTGGCTGCAGATCACCAGCTTTCCAAGGAGAGAGGCGCCGTACGCCTGACCAGCGTCCAGGCCCGGCTATGCCAGTGCTTCTGGCTACTGTCACAGTCTCGCATTAACCACTGTTGGAGCTTGTTTGGCACTGCAGGACACCTTGCTCTCGCCATTGGTCTGAACAGGAATAGGCATGCGGACCCGGCAGGGGGATACAACTACATTGAGCTCGAATGTCGCCGTCGCACGTTTTGGTGCGCGTACAGTCTCGATAACTATCTCAGTGCCGCACTTGGACGTCCACGAACATTTCATGATGAGGACATTGATCAGGAACTCCCATCGTGTTCAGAAGACGCGGATCTCCATGCAGACCACATCACGCCCCGTATGGGACGGGGCCAGTCACTCATGCTGGCTCCGGTGGCTCATGTCAAGTAGGTGATCCACTGCATTCCTTCTCTCATGCATGGTGCTGACTTGAGTCAAGGCTCTCCCGGATAGTGAGCATGATCTTACGGGATCTTTACTCCATACGGCCCTCATCGTTCTCAAATAGATGTGCTCTGGCGGCTAAGTACTCTCAAAATCTGAAGCACTGGAGGGCCGAAATGTCGCAGTTCTTGGATGACGGCGTCAACACGGCATTGCTCATCCCCATCTTCCAGCGGCAACGCAACGTGTTGAATCTGGCGTACTGGCATGCCATGATTCTCACACATAGACCCTTCCTTCTGAGTAATTTTGCGCGATTGCAACGAAACGGCAAAAGCCGTCGGAAAAGCATACCTCACAAGGACCAAACGGAAGAAAGCGTAAACGCCTGTTTGGACGCTGCCATGCATGTTGTCGACACCGTCAATGATCTTATACAGGCAGGGCAACTATTCCGTGCTTTCTGGGTAAGCCTTCATCAACCCTCTTTATTGAGCCCTTCTTCTAACTCTGGGCCACGTGCAGTTCACTTCCTATTTCGCCTTCTCAGCCGTGGTTATTCTCTATGTATACACCATCCAGCAACGGACGGCCCCAACAGAGGCATGGCAGGCCTACTTTAACGCGGCGTGTCGCTGCCAGACGCAGCTGGCCTCGCTCGCCGACCACGAGTCAACGCTGGCGGCGCGATACTGTCTCGTCCTCGAAGAGCTGAGAACCGAGGCGCTCCGACAGACCGAGCGGCACCAGAGCCCGGCCATAACCCATCAGGCCGGACAGAATGGTGGTCAGATCCCCCGTGCCGCTCTCATTGCGGCTGGAAACGAAGATATACAGCCGCAGCATGAGCAGCATCACTTGGCAAACCTCAACTTCCCTGATGTAGGACACGCAGATGAGTTTGTTGGGTTTGATGCGAGCCCAAGTAGCTCTCTGGCTGACATGACGAGTTGGGGCCAATTTGACTCTATGGTATGTAGAAGTTTCCTTGTCCCGAGGCACACTTTCTTGCCAGCGTATTGACAATTGTGTTAGGTCACTTCTGGATTTGGAGGGCTCGAGGCTTTACTCAATGATGACTCTCTACGATTTTAATGACTATTGCGACTAGTTTGCTCAAGTTTGGATCCGGGCCAGTAGGCCAGCCTTCTTTATTTGCATCATGCAATCCCTGCGGCGTCTAGGAATGCACGGAGTTCACACTTGTCTCCCCCACTGCCATAGTACTCTGTAGTTTAACCTGAAGAACTGCGATCGAAGTCCCAGAATCGTTGATGTCTTTTCTGTTCATGACGTACGTTTATACAAGATACTATTACCTACTACTAACGATCTACTTACGAAGTGGCTGCTTGGAGACCCTCGAGAATAGCCAAGACGCCCTCGGCACCCGGGTCCGGCACCTTGCCCCAAGCAGACTCCTCCACGTAAACCGCACGACCAAGAGAAGCCGCCATGCCCTTGGTAGCCTCAACCCCCTTCCTCGCAGCCTCAACAGCATCCTCCACGCTTCCCGAGCTCTCCAATGTTCTCACAAACGGCTCCAGCGCATCGATAAGCGTCCTGTCTCCTTGCCTCGCCGGTGTGGCCTGCTGCAGCGTCTCGAGGGCTCCGACAGCGACCTTTGTCCACGCCTTCAGGTCGAGGACGCCCGTGCTGGCTTTGCGCAGCTCCGAGGCCAGCGCCGCAAAGAAGATGCTATAGATGGCGCCCGAGGTGCCGTCCATGTTGTCCTCGATCACGTTGGTGAGGTCGATTGCCGTGCGGACGGCGTCGTCGGTGACGGAGGGGGAGTCGGCGTACTTTTGGACGGCCTTTGCGCCGCGAGCGAGGGTCACGCCGCAGTCGCCGTCGCCTACTTGGGTGTCGTGGGCTGTGATCTGGGGTTCGGCGGCGTTAATTCTCTTTGCAGCTTCGGAGACTACCTTTTTGAACGTGTCTACGTTGACTGTATGTCGACCAGGCTCTGGTCAGCAAACGGGGGACATTTGATGGGTCTATCTTGAGGGGGTTTGGGACTTACATTGCACGCCGCTCTTGGTGGCGTCCTGGGAGCCATGTCCCGAGTCGCTACTCTCGACGAGGCGCTGCTTCACGTCTCCGCTGGTCTCATCACGCGGGGAGTAAGCCCAGCCGATGGCATTTGTGCTGGCGTCAATGTGCTTCAGAATCTCGGGGTTGGCCTTCAGGAGAGTGATGCTGAAGCCGGGTCCGTTCAGACTCGTCATGTAAGTACCAGAGATGACGCGGGTAAGCTTGAGTCCACGGCCATCTACGTCTTACTGTTAGTGTGACGTTCTGAACACCTTCAATCGATTTTTATGCCTGGCAGCATTCACTTACTCAGAGCATTTGTGACCTTTGCCGTGATGCCACCGAATTCAAGTGGCGAAACACCGCCTAGGTTGTTCACCAGAAGAACGACATCCTTGGCGTCAGAGAAGTCGACGTATGCCCTGTCCGAATCGTTGGTATCAAGAAGCTGTGTGAGCATGGCATCGATGAGCTGGGAAAGCTGCGGCCGAGGCTTCAACACCTGACATCCAGGCTCATTGTGAATACCCATGCCCAACTCAACCTGATCATCAGTCGACGCCGCAGCAGCCTCTCGGCCAGGGATATGAACATGCTCCAGTGACGCGCCAACAGTCACCAAGTTCTCCGTCACCGTCTTGCCCAACTTAACCACATCCGCCAGCGAAGCGCCCGTCTCCTTGTACGCTCCCAAAATCTTGTGCACGAGTACGGTGCCAGCCAACCCGCGGCGCCCGACTTTACCGCTCTTCTTGCGGCCAACGGAGACGTCATCGCCGACGATAAGGACCTCCACGGGAACGCCGAGCTGGGCCTTGGCCTTCTCGGCCGCGAGGTGGAAGTGGAAAACGTCGCCGGTGTAGTTCTTGATGATGAGGAGGACGCCGGCGGGGCTGGCTACGCGGCTGATGCCAGACAAAATCTGCGCTACGCTGGGAGAGGCGAAGATGGAGCCTGAGACGGCAGCCGTGAGCATGCCGCTGCCGACGAAGCCTGCGTGGGCGGGCTCGTGGCCTGCGCCGCCTCCTGAGAGAAGTGAGACTTGCTTGGGGTCATTTTTTGTGAGCCAGAGTGCTGTTGGACACGAGTTAGTATGTTACTCTCTTTGTCGATGCTGGTTGGATCATCGCCGGGGATTTAGCTGAACTCACTCTTTTTTGACTTGTCCAAAGTCAGGCCAGAATTCTGCAACACCAAGCTCTCGAGGGCATCAAGAACGAGGTCCTCGGCTTCATCATAGAAGTGTTTCGACATATTGATGCAGGCTAAGCGTGTGAATTCTTCTTTCAAAGTACGTAAACTGCTGCAATGTTCTACTAGACGTCGAAGAAAACTACCATCTCATGGACGTCTCTCATAATAAACATCCCTCATTACCCCGCCATAGCAAACTCCTTCACCCAGAATCGTCCGACACCCCGCGGCTCCCCCGCGTGTTCCTCCCCTTGGCAATGCTCCTCCGACTTCCTCAAAGCTCACAAAGTTCCCGTCAGTCGGATATACTACTATAAGATCCCGTCCCGAAGCAAACAAGGGAACCATGGGAACAACGGACATCCCACCGTCCGGCACACTCACACCGGAGAAGTGGTCCGTGCATTCCGGCCTGTTTGCCGTTGTTGCTTTTCCGTGTCCCCTCACCTTGTGTAAGTGGCTTTTCCGTCCCGGTTGTCTCGGCACGCAACTCGTGACCTTGCCGCTGGGCTGGCTAGGCCACTGGGAAGGAGAGGAAACGGCTGGCTGCGTCTGCGGTCGTCGCCACTGTGAGGGGTGGGAAAAGGTACGGCAGTACGGTAATACGGTAATACAGTGGTAGTAAGGTAGGAAAAAGAAGGCTGGAATGGAGGGTATGGTGGGCGAGCGAGCCCAGTGGACGGACGGAACTGTTGGAGAAGAGAAACCCGGCCTGTTCGTACATGGATATGGTTGCGGGTGTGATCTGGATGGGACTAGTTTGGATGGATGATTAAGATAATAGGCTTTCCAAACCTTTTCCAAAAAGAACATTTCATGTCAATGTTCAGTGACGGATGAATTAGCCAAAGACTTTGGTTGACAGATGTAAAGATTCATATCAAGCGTGATACTCGCTCAAAGTCAAACATCTTTCGTCCTTTTTTTTCCATACATTTCTAATTGCCTACTCGTTCCTTACTCCCCATTCATCATAACCGCCCAGATCGTGGTGCCTTTTTCAATATGGCTATCCACACGGAAGGCGTGATTCCGCGGTCAATCCTCACGTCTGAGAAGCCTACTGTCGAGATCGTAGAGACGGTGAAGCCTATTGAGCTCAACACTGTCACAGACTTGCTTCTGAAGCGCGTGGACGAAGCACCAGATGTCGATGTCCTAGCCTACCCCGCTACGGCGCGTGGCAGAGACGACTATGTCAACTACACAGCCAAGGACCTCGATCGGTTCGCCGATGAGGCGGCGCGCAAATATGCCCAGGCCGGTCTTCTCCCAGAGGTATGTAGACTCACCGAGCCATACCACTCCACCGAGGAAGCTCCTTGTCCACAACGAGGAATCACACGAACTGACAAAGCCTAGAACCCGTCATCAAACCAAGCAGAGGTCGTCGCCCTCTTAGCAAACTCAGACATCAACTATGTTGTCTCCATGTTCGCCCTCTCAAGGATGGGCTTCGCCGTGCTCTACCTGTCAACACGTCTCTCACCAGAGGCCTACTCCAACCTCCTCGAAAAGACAAACTGCAGCAGAATCGTCATCTCGGAACGGTACAGCGACATGGCGGCCCAGATCAACGCCGAGTCACCCATCACCACGTTCAGCATCCTCGACAAGGCCGACTACGACCTCCCAACTCCCTCGGGCGACCGCTTCCCCGTCTTCACGCACCCCGACGCCGGCAAGCGCATCTCCTTCATCGTGCACTCGTCCGGCTCGACCGGTCTCCCCAAGCCCATCTTCCAGACGCACGCGGCTTGCATCTCAAACTACTCCAGCGGGATTCCTTACCGCGCCTTCCTGACCTTGCCGCTTTTCCATAACCACGGAATCTCGACACTGTTCCGTGCCATTGTTGCCGGTCACAGAATCGCCATCTACAACGCCAACCTGCCCCTTTCTGGAACCACACTGGTCAAGGCCATGAACGCCACGGAGCCCGGCAGCTTGCACTGCGTGCCCTATGCTCTGAAGCTTCTTGCAGAGACCGAGGGAGGTATTGAGGCGCTGCAGAGACTCAAGCTTGTCTTGTACGGCGGTAGCAGTTGCCCCGATGACTTGGGTGATCGACTCGTTGAAGCGGGCGTGTATCTCGTCGGGCACTACGGGGCGTAAGTTTCTTTAACTTCAAGTTCTCATGACTTGCTCTTACTGACTGTTACACAGCACCGAGATGGGCCAGCTCATGACCTCGTTCCGTGAGCCCGGGGACAAGTACTGGAACTACATGCGGCCCTTGGCCTCTGCCAAGCCGTGGCTGCGTATGATTCCCATCGCAGGCGACGTCCATGAGTGCGTCGTTCTCGATGGTCTTCCCTCAAAAGTCATGTCCAACTCGGACGACCCGGCTCCCAACTCTTACCGCACCCGCGACACCTTCGTTCCTCACCCCACGATCCCAGATGCCTGGAGGTACCTCGGCCGTCTTGATGACCGTGTAACCCTGGTGAATGGTGAAAAGGTCCTGCCAATCCCCTACGAGAACCACATCCGCGAACACGAACTAGTCCAGGAGGTCGTCGTCTTTGGCGTCGACAAGTCCATTCCTGGACTCGTTGTCATTCCCAGCGAGAACGCCAAGGGTCTGTCCAAGGAGGACATCCTCAAGACCCTGAGCCCCGTCATCAACGAAGCCAACGCCCGAGCCGAGGCCTTTGGCCGTGTTTCCCCAGAGATGATTGAGGTGGTAGACATTGGCACAGAGTACCCCCGGACCGATAAGGGCACCGTTATCCGCGCCGGCTTTTACAAGCAATTCGCAGACCTCATCGAGGACGTCTACAGACGCTTCGAGGCGCCAAAAGACGACGTCGCCGGCGGCGAGCTGCTAACCCTCGACCTGCCGCAGCTCCAAGACTATCTCGTCAATCTCTTCCGCTCGACTCTAGGCTTCACAAAGGTCGAAAAAGACACCGACTTCTTCGAGGCCGGTGTCGACAGTCTCCAGGCCAGCACCGCCCGTGGCCACATCCAGCGCGGCGTCGACATTGGCGGCAAGACCCTAGGTCAGAACGTCGTCTTTGAGTACCCCAATGTCCTCTCCCTGTCCAAGCACGTCTACGCTCTCCGCACGGGCGAATCCGTCGACATCGAGGATGAGATCGAGGTCATGAGGAAGCTCATTGCAAAGTACTCTGACTTTCCCGAGCGCAAGCCGGGCACCATCACCCCCGAAGGCAAGACCGTCGTCCTCACCGGCGCAACGGGCTCCCTCGGCGCTCACCTCCTCGCCCAAGTCGTCCGCCAACCCTACGTAAAGACAGTCTACTGCCTCGCGCGCGCCTCCTCGCCTGAAGAAGCCGAGTCCCGCGTCCTCGCTTCCCTGGCCCCCAAGGGCCTCAGCCTCTCCGAAACAGACAAGACCAAGGTGCGCTACCTCCCGACAAACCTCAGCCTCCCGGACCTAGGTATCCCGGCCGAAGCCGCCGCCGAGCTCCGCAAGTCCCTGACGACGGTGATCCACTCGGCCTGGGCCGTCAACTTCAACCTCGGCGTCGCGAGCTTCGAGGCGCAGCACATTCGCGGCGTGCATAACCTGCTCAACTTCTGCTTGAGCACCGAGACGGTCGCGCCCGCGCGGCTTTTCTTCTGCTCTTCCATCTCGGCCGCCGCGGGCACGCCTATCCCAGCAAGAGTCAAGGAGACGTACGTCGAGAACCTGGAGCACGCGCAGAACATGGGCTACGCGCGGTCCAAGGTCGTTACGGAGCACATTGTCAAGGCTGCGGCGACCAAGACCGGCATGACGGCGAGGGTGCTGAGGCTGGGACAAATTGTTGGCGATTCCGAGGGCGGCGTGTGGAATCAGACGGAGGCTATTCCGTTGATGATTCGAAGCGCAAAGGTGATCAAGGCGTTACCTGCCTTGGAAGAGGTAAGCTTCTTCATCATGACATACAGAGCAATTATAAGAGAACGAAGAGAATGCTGACAGGAACCCTCTCACAGACACCCTCATGGATGCCAGCAGACAAGATGGCTCTCGCCGTCCTCGAGCTCGCGCGCCTCACCGGCCCGCGCTGCACATCCTGCGGCGCGCCACCGTCGTCCCCCGACGACGCGGACCTGGACCTCGTCTACCAGGTCCAGAACCCGCGCCTGTTCCATTGGACTTTTGATTTCCTGCGCGCTCTTCGCGACGCAGGTCTCGAGTTCCAGATCGTTTCGCAACGCGAGTGGGTGCGCCGCCTGCGGGAGTCCGACCCGGACCCGGAGCGGAACCCGACGTACAAGCTGTTGGGCTTCTTTGAGGACAAGTACGATAATGATAGGCCTGGTCGTCAGGGCCTTGTGTTTGAGACGGAGAGGACGGGTGCGAGGAGTGCTGCTGTCGGGGATGGATGGGATGTTGTTGGGAGCGGGCTTGTTGAGAGGATGGTCAGGTGGATGGAGACGCAGTGGTGATTTTGGGGGGGTTGATATACCACCTTTGGACTCGTATTTGGCGTTTGGCATATTGTAATAAGGCATTTTTTTCTTGCTGTTTGTCTGGATATCATGACCATGAGAGAAATTGATTACTATACCAACATTTCGAACAAATCTGCGTGCAGAAACGTTAGCACGATATTGAAGAGCCAGGGTTTTCTGGAGCATCTACGGATCTTGTAATGAGGGGTTAATTGAGTTTACTCAAGCATTTCGATGAAATCACCCGAGAAGAAGAGAGTTCAACATTACAAACTCTCCCCAATGGAGATCTTGAGGAACGCTGTGGCTGGTCGGCAGCTCCCAGAAACTTGGAAGTTGATGGCCAGCCGTTGAAGTAAGACAAATTCCCAAAAGCGCTGCTAGTCACAGTAAAACCCTCTCGCAGGAAGGCCTTGGAACAAATTCCCAGTCATTGTGCGCCACGAAGAGCGGTAAGGCGCATGCTAGGGGATTCGGACATCCGAAAGCCACATCACCAACCTCGCAGGATTCAAAGCCATCTTCAAGTCGGTCTCATCTTCTCTTCATAACTGCGGCCCAGGTCTGAATATCTCACGCAGCATCTCAACATCCAGAAGGATCAATAGCGATAGATCTCAGCCATGCGCACCCCCAGACTCGCAGCCCTGGGTGCAGCCCTCGCAAGTGCTGCCAAAGCCTTCACCCCGCTCAACATCACGGCGCTCTCAACACGCGACGGCTACTCCGTCATCGAATGCTGGCAACTCACCTCCGTCCCCGTCGAAGCCCGCGCGGCTCTCAACTACGCCCTCGGCGGCGATCTCACGCGCGCAGAGTGGTCCATCATACAGCCCAGAACGACGGTCGGAGAGGCGTGGGCGCCGGCTGTGCAGTGAGCGTTTCCTTTGCTTTCATGCCTCTCTCTACAGCTACCTCATCTGTATGGGAGGAAGTACCCTGTTCATGAGACGACCGAGCTTCTTCTCGTCTTCTGTTTTTTGTTGAGTTCTTCGAAACTTGATGGACAAGGAACAAGGAAGACTTGACTGCGTAGCCTGAGGTCAAGTTTTCTCGTTACTGGAAAACTCGCAGACTAACTTGATCCCCGCCAACCACAGGCTGACAGTCGTCCTCAACGGCCTCATCCGCATCACATCGCCAGCACCGCCAAGGAACGCGTCGCAGGCCACACCGTCGCCCTCGTCGCCCGGAAGCATTAGCAGCAGTAGCGACGACGCATCAGCAGCAGCACCTCCCGCGCAGACGACGGCGTACATCCAGCCGGGCACGGTATCCTCGTCGCTCGTCATCGCGGCAGACTTGAAGAACGCGAGCGTGCATGCGGGGCACTTTACCGAGTTTCCCGGCGACGAGCCGACGGTGCTGGTGCAGGTGCCGTTTGCCGGGAACGGGGCGCCGGAGCATGTTGTCGTGGGAGAGGGGCCGTGTGGAAGGGGGAGTTGGGGCGCTGCGATGGGCGTTGGCATCTGACTGTTGACTACAGGAAGAATGGGCTTGTCTTGCTTGTGATGATGGCGATAGCTAGTGTCGTTACCTAATTACTTACTTATGACCTGTATGCAGCTTATGATCCGTTCCGAGGTCTTTTCGGGCCAGCGGCACGACTCCTCAAGATGACTACCTACCTACTCTTAAGACAGGAGAAGTGAGCGCTATCCATTGGAACAATGTCGTGGCGTGAGAGGTTAGAGGCTCACGTTAGCCAACAGTGAGACTGAGTGAGACTGAGACTGGGACTGGGCACGCAGAGGATGTGCAGGAAAACGTAATGAGCCAAGCAAGCATGATCTCGGTCTGAGCCTAATAGGCACACGAATGAGGCGGCAAGGGAAACTCGGACTTGAGCTGATTTAGGCTTGCGGCTTTTTAGCTCCATGGCCTACTTTACTTGGGTCTCCGCTTGGTCGTGTTCGTGGACCGTGTGAGCGATGCATTAACGTTGGCAAAAAAGTCATCCGAAATCTCAAGTCTACAGACGACGGCGCGGCCGCTCAATGTGTGTGTTCACTTCACACGGAATTGCGATCGTCTTGGCATGCCGGGACATCCGCTGTTAGGAAACGGGACGTACGGCACGTTGACATGAACCTAGAGATGAGACTTCGGACAAGGAAACTCATCACTTGTTTGCGTCATATTTTGTCCCTTCATCGGTCTTGTTCGGGATACTTTGGCTATGGGATCAACCGATCATACGTGAGTGATGGCGCGGACAGGTGATTTGGCGAAGGCCTTTGCCTCAAAGGGGGGTTTGAATGGTTACGACGGCACGGCTGAGACAAATAGCAGCGGCCGAGGTCCCTATTTTGCGTTGCAAAGATCGAACGCAGTCCAGTCCTCTTTGCTCTGTGATGCTACGGTGTGACGGGGATTGACACGGCCAGGCCGTGAATCTGTGCAACTACCACCATTCAAACTTCAGGGTCGAAGACTTTGAGACAGAGGGACACAGCGCGAACATTCTCCTTCTTTTCCGTGCGTCCAGCAGAAGTACGCGGATGCCGAAGAGCAGATGAAAAGGAAGGGAACTCAAGTGCTTGGGCGGGCACCAGAACCTCGGGATGTGACAGTTACGTGACACACGCCTCGGAGGCCGTAGCCCGCTCCCATCTTGCAGCACGGCACGCACGGGTGATCTCGTGGCTTGTCGGGTGTAGTAGCGCAGACTCACTGAAGCATCTCCGTGAAGTAACATTCATCGGACTGGGTGGTCAGCAACAAGAAACGATCAATAATTACAATACGGAGAGATCTCGGCAGTGGACGGGAAAGGGAGGGGCCTAAAATCCCACGATTTGCTCATCTATCCGTACCGGTATCCTCTCCCATTCCTGCCCCGCACGGGGATGATAGGGTGCTGACAGCGATCATCCCAGCAGAGGTCCACGGCGTGCTCAAAGAGGCATGCGGACCCGGCTAAGAGCTTGGAGGGGTGGGATCGGGAGGGGGAGGGGAAAGATTGATCTCATCGGCGGGGGGTCGGATGGGGGTCAGATAGGGCAAGACTCCAGATTCCAGACTCTTACTGTACTAGAGGGCAGCAGGGTCAGTTCCTCTGGAATGTGGAAAAAGCAACTTTAGAACGGGAGGCATCTCGGCAGCCTGTGATTCTGGCGTCGTCAATGTCTTTGCGGGACGCTGGTGACACGCAGCCTTGGCAGCCACATGCTGTTGGTAATAGTTCGAATCACCAGAGCACACAGCAGCAGCAGCAGTGTATAGTGCCAAGTGGTCGCCGTAGTATTTGCGACAGCCAGTCGGAAATAGAACGCATGTCTCAAGACGGCAGGGCCAGGCGGCTGTGAAGCCTGGCTGGCCCGGCCTGGTTCGTGCAAGGCCGTTCAAGCCCAGTCTGGCCGGTCCAGTCCCAGTCACAGCGAGCGTGACCTCGTGGGCTCGTGGATCATTGCCAGTTCTGGGGCTGGTGGCTTCCTGAAGGAAGTGACAAAAGTCTGAATGGGTGTGTGGTTGATCGTAGGTGGCTGTAGTCCCGCGTTCGTGAGCCCGTACGGAATGGAGGGTCGGACGAAGAAGGAGACCAACAACCTGACTGTGAATTTGGGATTTCCTCGTGTGATGATTGGTGCTGACGGGACCGTTTGGAAACAGTGCAGTTGGACGACAGTGGTTAAGGTTGGTCGGCATGGATATAGCTTCAACGTGCGGTGGCTGAGCAAAGCTGCGTTCGTTCGCGGAGGACTAATGCAATCCTCTCATCGCATTATTGGGGCTGGCAATAAAGCTTCGCCCTGAGGAGCACTTCTTGTAAGCTCTTGACCATACCTTTAACAGATGAGTACCTGTAGGCTATCGTATTTCAGGCCCGCGAGAGAGACGGCAATCTAGGTACCTATCCATCCATCGATAATGACAATGAGATGGGATGGGATGGATGGATGGATGGATTCATGTACGCGAGAAGCGAATCGCTGCCCACGGGGTCGGGTATGTACGATGACCGCTGGGTGACCTCCTCCTGGGTCGGCACGTCGGGTCGCAGCAGGCGACACACTGTTTGACGCGGTATGCGATGATTGGGCTGGTGTGAATCAGGGACGATGCGACGGCGTCCAATCCATGGGTTAATTGACTCTAGCAGAAGCCAAAGATGTGTGTGAGTGACAATTGGTTGATGTGAGCGTGAGGGTGTGAGTGAAGGCGAGTGTGAATGGAGGATGAGTCTGACATGTGAAAAGGAGATCAGGGACTGCCTGTCTCAACTACCAAAGCACAGAGCAGTGGCCATCAACTGCGCCGCGAATGACAAGCTCGCCGAATCCTGCAACGGAAATAGCACCCCGTCCAATAATGTGAGGCTTTGGCAACGTGGTAATCGTCCTCTCGTCCGTCAAGAGACGCGCTCAAGAGTCGAGATCGAGCCGGGAGACGAACGACACTTGTGCTAACTAGTCTTACACCAGCTCTGCCTCTGCGGGTGCCTCCAGCTGGGGATGCACTGCGCATTCACTCAGGTGACTATTTCCTTGACATCAATGTTCCTCATACACTCATCAACAGGCATGTTATTTTGGCTTGTGATACGTGATCCTCGCGATACCACCTTGTCGTCTCGTGAAGCCTACGCCGTAGGTGCTGCTCATTTTGCCTATTACGGAGAGACGCATGATGATGGGGGTGGATGAATGGCAGCCCTCATAGTTCATTCGTTCATGCTCATTGGCATCGGACTCACTGAGTCTCATTAAGCATTACAACCTTTCACCAAGAGATCAGCCCTAACCAAGCCCTCTTCGCAGGAGATTTCGCAATATTCTGCCCCTCCTTCACGAAAATCCCCAGGAAAGCAAAACCAACCCAGAAGGAGGGGTGAAGGCGCGCAACACAGTGACACACACACACAACGCTCGACTCATTCTTCCACTCCACACACCACCAACTCCGCCAGAACTGAATGCCTGGACCTTGTACAGCGCTCTAGCGACATCGGCGGTTGCGCGGGAAGAATCCCAGTGAGGGGCCGCCGTGGGAACTCTAGACTTCTTGACAAGGGTGTGAACCTTGCCGCCTGCACCACCAGCCCACAGCGTCTCGCCTTGACTCTCTTTTCATCGTTCTTGGCCGTGAATGCGCGACCAAACTACTCAAAGAGAGTCGGGACGCCATAGGCAAGGTACCGGGAGTCAAAACGTCGTGCTTGTCACTGTCAAGAGCGACGAGCTAGCGGGTGGACCAAAACGTCAGAAGAAACGAAGCGAGACGGCTGCTGTTCATTAATACAAACAAAACATTAGTAGTCGCGCCAGCCGAGGACGCCCAGCTTTCAGCTCTCAGCTTTCATTGTTCAGCGACAGCATTCGTCAAAGAGAAGAGCCGAAGCTCATGCCGGCCGGAGTGCCTCGTCATTAGGTATTCGCAGAAAAGGTTTACGGTAGGTATGCTCACTGACGTGACTTGACGATATCCAAGGCCCGCCATCCCGTTCCCGCCCGTCAATTCACGCAGCAGACTGAAGCTAGAGAAGCATCGCCGCTTCCTACTGTGTTAGTCGCCGCGACTTAAACTCTCGGGCTGCTCTCCGGCCGTCTTAAGCTCCCAAATCGTCTCTTCAATAGTGTGAATGAGCTAGCCCTCATTCCATCCCCACAAGCCGTCGAACAGCGCATCAAAGGTGGAGAGATATCAACACCGTGCCGCCGGGCCATCCTCGTCTCGTAGCTTTTCCGTCAGGCCTTTGAATGCCCACTCTCTCAGTCACACACACACACACACATACAACACAAACTCACATTCAATACACCCTCTTTCAGTGATCACAGTTCACTTTCACTCTCGTCTCATCTTCAATTCCTCACTTTTCTCGCATCCTTCATTCCCCCCTCAATCTCATCATAGGTACTGATTCCCAACTCTGCCCATCTCATCCCACACGCGTCCACTTGTGCGTCACCGCTACTCCGACTGGGAGGCTTGGGAGGCTTTGAACCCCCCCTTCGGCCGTCGTTGAGCTTATCCTGCAACAAAATCAGCACCTTACGCAATTCAGGCCCTACAGCCCTCCCCTGGGAGCCAGGGATCCATCCCACGATCCGCCGCTTCGCATACGCAGTCTCTCACTTGCACGCAACCACGCGCATGAAGCCCATCATAGGTACATAGTGCGGACACAATAAATTCAGGGCCGACTCTACGGTCCTGAACTGTTCCTCTTACGGGTAAAGGCCGAGTACAGTCCTGAAGGGTACACTACACGAACCATAACACACACACACACACACACACACACACACACACACTCGGCACCCCCTCTGAGCCTCTCTTAGTCTTCTCTCCTCTCACCCCGAAAGAACGTTAGCTGCATGAAAAAGAGGCGCCGCAAAGCAACTTGAGACGACAACGTGAAAGATCAACACAAAATCCTCTATCCGTAAAGCGCAACGCCTCCCCGCCAACAGCGGGCGAGAGAGAAAAACTACCACCACCTGCATACTGAAAGTGGATATCCTGTGTCTCTCTTGTGTTACTGTTTCCTATTCCATTCTCAGTGCCCACTCACTGTGACTCGCCTCCCCCATCTTTATCATCTCCACCGTGTTGCGTCAAGAGGCCTGAAGGCAACACAACGCCCAGAGGTTCTAGACTCGACTCGACTCCAGTCCGGCGCGCGGTGGTCACTCACGGGTGGCTCGCCTTCACGCTGCTTCTACGGATAAACCGTCCCCAGTCTATGTACCGCTTTCATCTCGTCCCAAAGAAGCGTTTTCTATCGCTGGGATTATCATTTAGCGTGTAGCGCATCGCCGGGCGACTACATCATCGTCTCAAGTTTCGAAACTCTGCGACACGAAAGGCCCTTTTCCCTCTGCTTCCTGTCCTTTGGCCTCTGCTCCCCCCTCCCCCTCTTCTACTTGTATGTAGACTGTGTACAGGCTTCTACCCTCCTCGGTTTTCTCCCGCTCTCTCTTGTCAAAAGAAACTTGCGTCTGAAGCAAAGTCGATCGGGACCTGGTGCCGGTAAAAACTGTGCAAAGGCCCTGCAGAGTCGAACTTCTTCGGCGCTGTTCACTTTTGACTTCCGATTTATCACCGCACTGCTTTCTGCTCGTTCATCTTCGATCTGTATTTCCCAGCCGAGTTTACTCGCGTAACTTGTCTCTTACACTTGTGTGGTCTTGAGACATGCATATTGAGACAGCCTTGGAACCTCGGATCTAGAACTTGGGAGTTTCTTGACATCGGCGGCTTGTCGTCTCATCAACAACGCCTTCGCCCACCTGGCCACCTGGTGCACCTGCAGCCTGTCTACTACACCCCTCCCGTCCCGCAGCAGCACACGACTTTGGACTTCACCCCCCCCCCCCCCCCCCCCCCCCTCCTCGTCTGATCTTCTCGCCGCCGGCTTGTCCTGCTGCTCTTCAGACCGTCAGTCAGGACTTAGTGGTGTCCCGTACGCGGTCTCTGCATTACCTCCCTCTCATTCTCTCTACCCGTTTGATCCCAGTACGGCTCCTTGTCGCCCTATAAACCTCCCAGCCATCTATGAGAATTACATCCCTCACCCCTTCCAACCCGCTCCGCATGCCAGCCCAGCATCATTTTCCGACCTTGACATACGGGTAGACTTTGGCATTGTTCAATCGTCGCAGTGGGCTTCCCGCATAAATCAACCTTGAACAACAAGCACCACCCCTAACCCACCGACGCCAACAGAAGAAAAGCCAATCCGTACAGGGGGATAACCTCGCAGCTCATCCCAGCAGGCATAGCAGCAGCCACATCATCAACCCACGCATAACCGGCGATCAACCCAACCAAACACCATCAAGCTTCTTTTGGAGGCGGTGTCTGTACCTACATATTCTCATCCCGCGCCCTCCCTCACCCTCCTCTGTGGACGACCCCCCTCCTGTCGTCACTCCACGCTGCGAGATACCTGGCGGGCAATAAAGAAGAAGAAATTATCGACAACAGTCTTATTAGCTGAACGAGACTGGGAAGAGA